ATAATTAAATGATAAATTTAAATGTCAATCAAAAAAATGATGCATTTAAATGTAAAAATGTAGAAAAAAAAAGATAAAATTAATTCTTCAATATAAATGTATATATATTATCAAAAAAAAAAAATTGGTAAATTAAATATTATATTTTAAATTAATTGTAGCAAATATTAAAAATATTGTATGAAAATAATTTGAAATTATATTTCATCCTCTTCGTTCATTTAATATATTTCTTTTCCTAATTAATTATTTAGTTGCATAGAAAAATTTGGAAATGAAAAATATCAAAAAAAAAAAAAAAAAAGATGTTCCTTTCTTTTTTTGATTAAGCACCAAAAAATTTGTTGTTTTTAATTTAATTTCATTATAAATTTAAATCTATTTTTTTCCAATATTTTGTTTAAATAATTATTAAATCAAAGTATATCAGTAAAAATTTGATGCAGTAAATCATTTTTCTTTTCATTTTTATTTTTTAATAATATTTATAATTTTGAATCCTTAATAATATTTAATTTTGAAAATGCAAAAGAAAAAAATTAATTTTTTTTTATTGAATAATGAAACAAAATTTTTGTACTTCTTGAAAAAATCGCTTTGTTTTTTTTTAGTGTCAGATTCATTTAGTCTTTTTTTTTTAGTATTATTTTAAAATAAAGAGTACAAATGACAGTATTGCTTTTCTTTTAAGTTTATTTTTTTTTCCTCTTCTCTTCTTTTCTTTTATTTTCTTTCTTTTCTTTTTTTTTTGTTATTCTAAAATGCTTTTTCTTTTATTTCACTTTTAGCTAAGCAATAACTTCAAGCAAACATTTCATTTCATCTCATTTCAAATCACAAAGTAATGTTTAAAATTACATTGTTGTGAGCGATGGCAATTTTTTTGATAGATGTCAAAAAGGGAAGAAAAAAAAATGAATGAAAGAAAAATAATATAATTGTAATTATAATGTGACACTCTTTTCGTTTTATAATAACAAATAATAATGATAATAATTTAATAATTTTTAATAAAATTAATAATAATAATAATAATAACAGCAATAGCAATAATAACAATAATAATAACTATTAATAATAATAATAATAATAATAACAATGAAATGCTGTCATACTTCAGTAAATGTTTTCCTTTTCATTATTCTTTTTTCTTCTCATTCAACTAACTATTTCAATTTTTGTGAAAAAATAAATAAAATTGAATGAGTTGAATTTTTTTTAGTTCACTGAAATACACACACACACACACACACACACACATACACACACAGACAAACACACACATACACACACAGACAAACACACATACCCATACACATACACATATACTTAGACATACACATACACACACAAATACACAATAATCATTTCTCATCAAACTTATAATTTGTGCAGTATGAATAGAATGTATGTATAATTTCAATGCTATTTTTCAATTTTTTTTTTTTTAAATTCAATATCTTTTACAGTCTCCTTTGTTTCTTTTCCATCCATTTTACCATATTATTTCCCTTCTTTTTTCATTCTCTCACTTACAAATAATTGTTATCTTACACTCAAATTATCATCACTTATAGTAAATGCAGAATGATAGGTTAGTAATAAACATTTTGCATTAGTCATTGAAATGAATTCACTGTAGTAAAATGTTAGAAATTGTTAGGATATGAAATATTTGCATGCATTGATTGATGGTTTCAATGAAATCATTTAAGAGGGTTTTATTACTTTTTGTTATTACAATTGATTGAAAGTAAGTAATAATTTGGAGAATTTTAAAAATAAAATGAAATAATTTAATAATTCAATGTTTTTTTTTAAAAATCTTAAATCTACCACACATTTAAATACTTAGCAAATTAATATACTAAACATTTATAACTGCAATTTATAAACTTTAATATGAATAAATAGTTTCCGTATATCTGAAGACTTTTTTTTCAAGAAACTAATTATTAAATACAAAATGTAAAATTAAATCATACAACAAAACTTACTCTTTCATTTTTTTTTTTTTTTTTTTTTGTGATCTAGAAGAAAAATAAAAAGTTTGAAGTCTTTCATTTTTTTTTTTTTTTTTTTTTTTTATCTAGAAGAAAGGTAAAAAGTTTAAAATTTTCTGTATAAATAATTAACACTGATAACATTTCATTCCATGCTTACAATATTTCCTTAAATGTGAAAAAAAAAAAAAAAAATTTAAATTTTCAACTGTACAAATATCTATTTCATGAGAACTTATTCGTGAAAGATACAGTGACAAATTCAGTTTTCGAATGAAATAATAATGGAAGCATTTCCGGTTACTACCGTAATCGATGTGACTATAAAATTTATTCGGCATTATAAGATACATTTGGTAAAGAAAGTTGTATTTTACAATATTGAATGGCGACAATATGTCTTTGTTATAAGCGACCGATCGGTGACAAAAATTTTCGATGGACATCTAATCTATTTTGAGTCATCGTTATGCCAGTGCAATGGAGCATAACTTGAATTAATAGAATAGAAATGTTTGTTTTCAGATTAAGAAAGACGACCATACAATTAATGTTTTCTCTCGATTAAAGATGTTATATGTCATCGTAAGATAAATATGAATAAAATCAAAGTGAGAAAATAAAATTTCAAAAAGGAATTAAAATTAACAGAAAAAGGGATTATTAGAAAAAAGTTTCATTATGTAAAATTCAAAAAAAAAAAAAAAAAAAAATCTAACTGTCTTATCTGAGATTAATTGTGTCCAATAAAAAATGGAATTGACATACACATAGATACAGTGACAGGAAAATTTTAAAATAAATATGAATTAAAATCAAAGTTGAGAAAATTAAATTTCAAAAAAGGAAGTTAGATTTTTCTTTTTCTTCTTTACGCTGACAACAGTAAGGTTTAATTTAAAATGAAAATTTTAAAATAACTGAAACTACTCAAGTTCATTATTCACATTGAAACTATTCAGATTCATATATGATTTATGAATTCGAAGTAATCATATCAGATCAGTTTCATTTTTAGTTTAATTATATCATAAATAAAAAAAAAAAATGTTATACTAAGTGATATATGAATCGATGACAACAATATGACAAATCGATAGCATCATGAATTGATCGTTTATTGGCAATGTTTTTGAAAGGAATGAATGCTAGAATTAGAATTCAGTTATAAGTGAGAAAAAAAAAAGTGAAAATGAAATGAAATGAAAAAGAAAATAAAAACAACAAAAAAAAAAAAGATAAATAAAGTGAAAATAAAAAATGAAATAATGGAAAAGAAAAAAAATTGAAAACAAATGTAAATTATAAATAAAAATGAAATTGAAATGATAGTAAATGAAAAATGCTGAATAATTCTTATTGAGCATTTTAAGTTAGCAAAGAATTAGAAATAAATGAATAAAGGAACAGAAAAAAACTTTCAGTTCTGAATTGTCAAACAGTAATCTTTCGAAAATACTTAGAAAATACTTTATTTTCACTTTACTTATTTTTTTTTTTTATTTTGAATCTAAAAATATGCTTTCTTTTAGACTGATTCATTGCGTGATCCCACGTGTATGCCTTCTTTTAGACTGATTCATTGCGTGATCCCACGTGTATGCCTTCTTTTAGACTGATTCATTGCGTGATCCCACGTGTATGCCTTCTTTTAGACTGATTCATTGCGTGATCCCACGTGTATGCCTTCTTTTAGACTGATTCATTGCGTGATCCCACGTGTATGCCTTCTTTTAGACTGATTCATTGCGTGATCCCACGTGTATGCCTTCTTTTAGACTGATTCATTGCGTGATCCCACGTGTATGCCTTCTTTTAGACTGATTCATTGCGTGATCCCACGTGTATGCCTTCTTTTAGACTGATTCATTGCGTGATCCCACGTGTATGCCTTCTTTTAGACTGATTCATTGCGTGATCCCACGTGTATGCCTTCTTTTAGACTGATTCATTGCGTGATCCCACGTGTATGCCTTCTTTTAGACTGATTCATTGCGTGATCCCACGTGTATGCCTTCTTTTAGACTAATCCATTGCGTGATCCCACGTGTATGCCTTCTTTTAGACTGATTCATTGCGTGATCCCACGTGTATGCCTTCTTTTAGACTAATCCATTGCGTGATCCCACGTGTATGCCTTCTTTTAGACTGATTCATTGCGTGATCCCACGTGTATGCCTTCTTTTAGACTAATCCATTGCGTGACCCCACGTGTATGCCTTCTTTTAGACTAATTCATTGCGTGATCCCACGTGATACACGTAGCACACGCCAAAACATATCATAACATATTAGTGCCAGACTGTAAGAGAAAATCCTTCTGATATTTTCCTGTGCACTCTGATCGTCTGGTATGAATGGAGTGGGCAGGCACATTGTCAGTTTGCGATAATTATTTGCCTTTCTCATTCCTTTACTTCGGATGAAATTTTAGCAAATTGTGCCCAAACCATTTGGAAATACTTTTTTCAGTTTGTGAACGTATAAAAATGGGTGTATTGGTCGGTGGTACAATTTGTAGTTTATACGTGATTTACACGTCTCGCACGTGAGTCAGGTAATATTTACCTTCTAAACTGTTGCTTGTATATGGTTCAGGTTTAGTTTAGATATGATAGGTTTGCCGGATTATCGTACTTTCGTTGAGACCAAAAGCTTTTCTCCTCTTTATGTTGCCAAAAATGTTAGGATTAACTGATTAAACTATTTCACTAATCATCCTCACTCTTCGGAAAAGTTTATATTGTCATAATAATTTTCATGATTGCCTGTAGAGAACGTTAACTGAACTATGCACTAGTTAGCTTTTATCTTATTATTATTATATAACAAGCAGTAAGGAAATTGAGTGTATTATCTGATAATGCTAAATGTTTTGTCATTTTTCGATTTTTCCTTCACTGGTCATCCTTCGATATTCCGATATTTTTTCGTTATTCTAAATATCTTTGTTTCTTTTTGCAGGGATAGCTCATATTTTAGTTTACTTGTTTAATTATGTCTGAATTAGAAGCTGTTGCAAAACGAGCAAGCAGCACTGCAAATTACGGTGCAAGGGATAATGGACGTGGGCAACAGGAACCTACTAGTAGCAGCAACAGGTTTGTGTTTTGCTTAAACTAATGTTTCGGAAAACTCTTTCATACCAATTACAAGTAGATAGTAAGAAATAGAAATCACAAAAGTTTTCTAACTGTAAGGTATATGGTAACGGTCACGAAATCGTTGTTGCATTATGGTATGCACTGTTCAAAGAAGAGTTTCTGAGTCAGTTATCAAGCTTGGTAAAGCATCAATGCAGATAGTTTGTGAATATAACTTTATCTTCTGAGCTCATTTAACTTTTTTCTACATTGTCACACGATACTATAATTAGAGATTCGTTGAAGGATTTTTATCAGGAACTGTTTAGATGAATTGAATAGGAAACTGAAAAATCCCTTTTTAGAAGAGGTATGGTTGGACATTATGGTCGTGGTAGAGGTAGAATTCAAGAGTCAGATCAGAGATATGACCGGAATCGTCATAATTTTTATAATACGAGCAGCGGACGAGATAGACATGATGCAAACTCCAGAAGGCATATGATTCGCAGTCCAAAATATTATGAACATATTACTGCTACTTTAGTAAGTTTGTTGTAAGTTGTTAATAAGTGCTTATTGTTTACATACATGAACAATAATTTTTATAGAATCGGTTGGATCACGGTGGTATTAAATTCAGGGGCGAGACTTCAGAATGTGATATATGTTGTCGTGAATCTGATATATTTGCTGTTGGGTCGTGTTTACATCCTATATGCATAGAATGCGGAATTCGACTACGAATTTTGTGTAAAAATGAGACGTGTCCAAAATGCAGAACTGTTATCGATATAGTAATTTAATTTTTTTTTCTCTTACAATTTTATGTCTTATCAATTAAGATTCGAAATACTATGCCTCTTAAATACTCTTATTACATTGGTTTTTGGTTCTAGCTACTACTGAGGCAGCTAATAAAGACATTACTAAAAAAAAAACTTACTATAAATAAGTTAATTAGATTCTCTATTTAAACCAAATTAATGTACATAAAATTTCAGTTATATTTTGTGCCGTTTCCGGGTGATTGGAATGGTTACCAAATACCATTTCAATGTATAGAACATGGGGATACTGCAAAGTACAAAATTAAATTGGCAGATGATTATGTTGCAAGATGTTACGACAGCTATTTATCCCACCAATGCATAATATGTAGAAAAAGGTAAATTTCAAATTGTTTTTTTAATTCCTTCTTAAAAATCATAAACTCGTTGCATTAGAAAATCAAATTAATTTATAGGGGTGAAAAAAGGGTATTTGAAACGTTTGCTCAGTTGAATCAGCATGTGTATATGGTTCATCGTTTTGAATTTTGTGATATTTGTGTGGAAAATTTAAACTTATTTACTCATGAGCGGAAATTTTATTCTCAAGTTGATCTGAAACGACATTTGGAACTTGGTGATTCTGATGACAAGAGCTTTAAAGGTGGGTGTCTTCAAAACGTCGTTTTAGTTAGTATTTGTTTGATTGCATACCTTCATTCACTGAGTTCTATGAAAAGTTCCAATATTTCAGGACATACAGATAGCATTGGAAATATAGATCATTTCAAAATGTATTATTTTTTGTGAAATAAATTCACATTTCTTATTTCTGTTCACGTGTCAAATTTTAAATGACAGGGGTTTGTGTACATATAAAAAGTCATTTCTTTGAAGGCATATTAAATTGAATTGATTCATTTTCAGGTCATCCACAATGTCTGTTCTGTAAAAAACGTTTCTTGGATGAAGAGTTTCGCTATAAACATCTTCGTAAAGAGCATTTCTTTTGCCAGATTTGTGATGCTGAAGGACGAAGCAATTATTTTTTTCCGTAATCATAGTTTATTTTACAATAAACTAAATCTATTGTAAGCCATGTTAGAATGTCGTCTCGCTTATCTGTTTGAATTTCATTATTTTAGGCAACATAAGGATTTATTGAGTCATTACAAAGCGAAACATGTTGTATGCGAGGAGGGTGAATGCTTACATTTAGGAATAGTATTTCGAACAGATACCGAACTAAAAATACATAAGGTTAAATTTTTTTGATTTTAGACTGTTGTTCGGAAATTTCACATATAATACAAGTAAATTTTTTTTCCACTATTATGTTGTCACATTAATTTGAAAAAAATTATGTAGAATAATCTGTGTTACGAATAAAAGTTGCTAGCAGACTACTACGACTTTGTAAAAGAGTAATTAATGTTTTTGATGGTATGGACAGTAAAAGTGCGACAATAACATTCAAATCAATGTCAAAATTTTCAGTTAATTTTTGCATTAATTTGAATGTTGTTGTATGTCGACACATATTTTATTGGAATGCTTTCAGTGCTATTTCATTTCTTCAGAGAATATTCACAATTTGATGCTTTGTTGCTTTTGCAGAGTCGAGATCATGCTGCTGGTCCGCAAACACTAACTTTAGATTTTCATTTCTCTGACCGAAACACAACTGGACCAAGTCGAGGTGGTAGAGCAGTAGCAGGTTATATACCACATGAACGACATTTACGAGAGAATAAGTTAGTTCCATTTACTTAATAAATTTGTAAATTTAGATACATATAGATATAGGATATCATTTGCACTAATTTGTTTTTTTGCAACAAGTGAATGGCTTAGTCGAATAAATTACCCTATGCCGCTATCATTTCCGTTTACAACTGGATATAGCTTTTTTTTTGGAGATTTTCTTAATGCTTGCTTTCTCGTTTTTGGTGGAGTAAGAGAATAAAAATTGTTTTGGAAATAGTCAGTTATGGAAAACTTTGGAATTTTTTTCGGTGCTATTATACCTCATCTCCTGTTATTTTCAAATAACAAAAAGAATATTTTAGAAATTATAACTTTTATATTCTTTTGTCTACTTAAAATGAGTAATGAGCGCATTATTTCAGGTCAATTTCCAACAATATACCGAATGCATCTTCATTAGAAAATGAAGAATTAGTTAGGTCATCTATTCCAAATTGCGTTCCACAATTCACATTACAAGGTAGCGATTTTCCTCGTTTAGAAAAATCTGTACGAATTTCCGGTGTTTCGAATCCAGTGCCTTCATCGAATCCGATGAATAGTAAGAATACTGCAAAAGTTCAGACAGTAAACACCATCGCAATTAGTACCAAAGCTACATCAAATCCTCGCAAAGTTAGTCATTAAATTTGCTTTTGTTGCAAAGAGATTATTTAAATTAGCATGTATAATTTCTTTGAAAGAAATTCACAAATTACAGTGCCAATAAAATTGTCATACTTTTAGCCAAACGCTGCTTCTTCAAGGTCGTGGTTTATTGATGATGATGAACAGTTCCCTTCTCACCGGTCACATCTAAGTACTTTAAATAAACAGCAAACGGAAAACGCAGAAACAGAAAATTTCGTGAAAAATAAAGTTAAGGTATATATTTTTTATTTACCCATGGAATTCGAGAAATGAAATTCTACTACATTGCAAGTGATATGACATCTCATGTAATAGGGATATTTATTGTATTTCAAGCCAAGGTGGAAAATTTTCATTAAGAAGCTGACGAGATGCAGTACTTAAGAGTATATTTATATCGAAATTATTAATTATACTTCTGCATCCTTTTGCTATACATAACTCTTAATTTGTTTAGGTTGAAACTAGTTCAGGGACATCGGCGATCGAGTTAGCATGGTCTAAAGCAATGAAAAAACCAATGTCTTTAAGCAACGTAGCATCCGAATTAGCATTAAGTGATTTTCCAAGTTTACCGACACCCGCAGTAAAAAAACCTATGAACAATTTATTGCCTGGATCAGTATGGAATAAAAAGTGTCACTCTGTCATGCAGGTGCTTTATTTTTAAATATTTTTAACAGAAATGGAGAACGTTCTGAGCATGCGAATTGGATCCTGTTACTATTCAATATTATGTAGTTGGCTTTATGTTGGATATGACACAATAGAAGGGAAATTTATTTTTCATCATATTTTAAAATTCTTTTTAGTTCCTTTAAAAGAAAAACAATGCAAATTAGATTATATCTTAAATTTTCTAACAAAAGATCATGTTGTTAGTTATCAAACTAATTTATTCTGTACATGTTGTAATAGCGAATCCAATCCTATCCTTGAATTTTTTAGATTTTGAAATTATTTTCTATTTAATAGTTCAGTAATTGCTGCATATATATGTCGTTTTATTTACAGACATCTTCCGGACAACCGAAAATATCTTCATCTGTCACTAGTAGCGTTTCACGAAAAAATAAGCAACAACCATTGCTAGATCTTTGGCGTCAAGAATCTGTACCGGAAAAATGGGAGGATCGGGAAGATTCATCTACATTGGTTAACTTTATAATTGCTTTCATTTTTTTTTTTTTTTGACTAGTAAAGAAGCTTTTTAAAAAATATAAGTTTTAATTAAATCTATTTTTCTTTGATTTTATCCTAGTTCATTTCAAGGGATCACTATCGAAAATGACTTTGGAAGATATGGTTATTGTCAAGGATGCACCAAGCAAGAAAAAAGAGTGTAAAAAGACTACGAACAAACAGCAACGCAATGTTGTTAAGAAACTGGATGATCAATTAGTAATTTTATAATTTGCAATTAAATTGGCTGTTGGCTTATCAAAAAAAAGAAAAAAAAAAATGAGAATAATCAAATCTTTTGTAGGGTGCGAAAAGAAAGATGGAGGAGGAGATAAATGATGACTTCGTTGATCCTTTCCCATCTCTATCTTCTCGAACTAATCAGAAAAGTGAGACTGAAGAGGTATGTACGATAAAATAATCATTCAGTTTATCAGTGGTAGATAAAATAATTCAATTTTGTTGCTGCAGCAAGATGTTTAAGTTGCATTCCATATATTCAAAAATGGTTCAGATGAATTGTCTCATATAACAAAATTTAAAGTTTTTTTTAATACATATAATTATTTTTTGATAATATATGCTATCATATTATAATAACTTTGGTTAGATATATTCTTTATCACTCACTATTACTGATATAAAGTAACAATTTCAGTTACGTTCATCATCAACCTTCTCAGTTTCGAATAACATGACAACAAAAGAAGATAAAAGTGAGCCTATGGAGACAACTGCTACAAATGCATTATCGTTTAAGGATTTTACGAATCTTCTTGAAAGATCAGGAGAAAAAGGAGAAAAAGTAGGTTTTTGAGCAGCTTGCGAATTGTAGTAAGTTCTCTTTCTTAGTTGATTTGCCTAAAAATTGTATATTATGGTTCAAAATTTGTTATATTTCACAATCTTTATTTTTTTTTTTTTTTTAAGCTAATTATTTTGTTTTCATAAAGCAGGATTCGGTCTGATTATTATATTAAACTTCTTAGAAGTAGCTTTTTTCATGCAGTTTATTTATTTTTTCTTTTCAGGTCCTTGAGAAACAATCAGAAAATAATAGGAACTATTTTCCAACTGGTTTTGTTTCACCTCCCGGATTATGCTCACTGACTTTAGCGCCTCCTCCTGGTTTTGGTCCACCACCAGGTTTTGGTAAAATAATATGTCCAGAAATGCAAACTTCATCGAGCGATGCGGTGAAATCTTCTGCTAAAAATGTAGACGTGAACGTTTCAAAGATAGTAGGACATGGTAATAAAAAGAAAGGCAAGAAATAATAATGGAAGCGATAAGTAGATGCCTTTTGAATTTTTTGAATTTTTATTATGTTTTACTCTTAACTTTGAAAATATAAAATATACAGATGCTGCTGCTGCTGCTGCTGCTTGTATCTTAGCTCTTCTTTAAGGCCTTATTTAAATTTTTATTTTAAATTCTTATTTAAATTATATTTCTGCATACATGAATGTTGTACAATTTTTCATTTGAGTAAAACCATTTTGGTAGAGCTGATTCCTGTGCTTCATTTTTCTTTTATTCTTTTATCCTGCGCCTTTGTTTCTTTCTGTTGAAACATTTGATTAGCTTAACTTATATGCTAGACACCTGTTTAAAATCAAAAAGATAGGTACATTATACATTGTTTCTCTGCATACTAAAATTGAGTGTTATTTTTGCGAAAAGTATTATTTAACTTTTTGAATTAACATAATCACTATTTGATTGTATAAATAGTGATGCAAATTAACTATTGCCTAATAATATTCTCAAGATATGAAATTTAAGCTTTCATACTTCATTCCAACTGGTATTCAATGATGTTATAGTTTTTTTTTTTTTTTTTTTTTTTTAATTTAATGTTTTTATACATTACAACTTATTCTGTTGTATTACTTTTCGTCCATAGATGGAACATCTAAGGTGTGATTTTAATATTGCTACACTTGCTGTTCTTAATTTTCCTTTTGCTTTTCTTCTGAGGTACATTTCACATATAAGCACATCGTTTATTTTATTTAATATCTGTGAGTTCATTCTTTTATTATTCGGTTGCTTGCAATTAATTTCTCAGATATGATTGAATATCAAATCTGATATTTGATTGAGTATGCATTGTGCTATATTTAGTTACGGGATGAATAAATCTATAAGCAAATGAAATTGCTTTTAAGAGAGGAATTCAATTATTATTTCCCATTTGATACTACTTAAATAAATCTGATAATATTTATAATTAGATAAAAAAAAAGAAAAAAAAAAAACAGGTTGTTTACGAAGAAAGAAATAAACAAAGAATTGGTGGTGTGCTTTTTGATTAAAGTATTGATTTTGCTCTTTTTTTTTTTCTCGATCATTCTGTAATACTTTGGTAATGTAACTCCAACGAAATGAGCATGGATACTTGAAAACATGATCATCAAAATGTTTTTTGAATTAAAAGACTTTTGTTTTCATTTTATTTCATTTTTTTTTTTCTTTTAAATTTAATTAGGATTAACTGATTTAAAATGAAAAAGAAAAAAAAAAATCAAATAAAAACTTTATTAAGTAATTCTTAAACGATATTCTTTGTCAAAATTCTGTTATTCTTATTTAATTAACAACCATATTTTCAACAATTTCTTCACAATTAAAAAAAAAAAAAAAAATGGTAAAGATGTGAAAAAAAAAAAAACAAAACAATAAAATTAGAATGTTACCGTAAGGAAAGTAAGGTAGCTATGAGATATATTAATAAGATGTATAACTAATTGTATCATTTGATATGTTTCAATTCAACATTTGAAAAAAAAAAAAGAAAAAGTATTTGAATTGTAGAATAAAATGAATATTTTACCAAATGTTTTTCTTTCTTTCTTTTTTTTCTTTCTTTTTTTACCATAAAGAATAAGCTAAAATGAATGAATGAATGAATGAATGAATGAATATGAAAGGATGGATGATAAATAATTGTTAGTTTGCGCATAAAAAAAAAAAAAAAAAAAAAAAAAAAAAAAAAAAAAAAAAAAAACGAAAAGCAAAGTGTTTATATGTAATAGTAAAAAAAGAAAGTAAAATTGCAGATAACAGCGATAAAATTATACTGATAAATAGTAAAATTGGACAAATAATAATGAATCAAATGAAAATGTGAATAATAATAAATGAATGTTAGATATAAGTGTAATTGATGGATGATGCAAATATGAATGAATTTTTTCCTCTTTTTCCCTTTTTAACAAATTAGGCATTTGAAGTTTATTTTGCTATGTATTATTTGTCAATGAAAATAAATTGAAAAAAAAAAAAACGGAAGAGAAAAACGAAAAGGAACGGAAAAATTTGTTTAAAAAAAAGAAATTTAACAAACTGTTACGGATAGATACATACATTTTTTTTTTTTTTTGTGCTTGGTTTTGAGCTTTAGGAAATTTGAAATTTTTTTTTTTTTTTTTTTTATTTTTTATTTTTGTTGACATTTTTTTTTGACAATAAATGAATCCAAAATGGTAACATTTGATTTGTTATTTTAATCCTTCAGTTGAAATTTCACACTTTGACAACATTTGTCGTTCTTTTTCAACTAATTTTCCTTCTAAAAAATTAAAAAAAAAAAAAAATGCTTAACATAAAATGGAAACAATAATAATTCATAATAATAGTAATGGATAATAAATCATAGTATTAATCAATAATGATAATTGTGGTAATAATAATAATAATAATAAAACAAATTAGTAATGATAATATAACAATGATGACAATAATAACAATAATAATAATAATAATAATAATAATAATAAATAGTCGATATTGCTTAATTGACTGATTTAAATAATTTGAAAAATTTTCCTTCGCTTCCTCATTATGTTATCAGTGCCACTCAGAAATTTCTCTGAGCTGAAAGAAAGGAAATTTGAATTTTGTTAAGAATAAAATGAAATGAGAAAAAATGAAAACATAGGTAGAAAAAAAGGAAAAAAAAAGAAAAGTAAAAAATTTACTTTCAAATAATTTTCATTACTGCAACAACTTGTCATACTGTAGTTTTTTTAGCTCTAAGATTTGAAAATGATTGTTTTTTTTTTCCTTTTAAATTGATAAAATTATATACTCAAATGAATGCAACAAAGAATATATTTTAAGAATTACTTACTAAAAATTAATACTTTTAAGAATTATTTACTAAAAATTAATATTTTTAAGAATTATTTGATAAAAAATCAATACTACATTGATTAATATTTTTTTTGTAAATTGATTAAAATAATCTTTTGTAAAAAGAGTTGATAGAGATAAAATGTGACTTAATTTTATTTATGGAATAAATAAAATAGGTGGGAAACGATAGGCAATCGTCATTACCTGACAGTATTAGATATTTCATATGACACTCTAATAGTGTTCAGGTAAGACGACAGCCATTCATTTATTTGTGTGGGATAATTAAAGTTAAAATTTAATAATATTTAAATTGTTTTTTGTGGAATACGATATGGTATCATTGAGAAGTTACAGTAATGATAATCGGATAAACAAATTTTTTTTTTGAAATATGAAAAAGTTTTCTTACTGTCTGATAATATTTTTAAAAAAAAAAAAAAAATAAAAGTTTTTGTACTTACAATAAGAACAATTAATAAGTGAAAATTTATAAAATACCTCAAAGGTATATCTCAAATTTAGTGTTTAATTTAATTACCTACATTTTTATTTCAAATAGTTTAGAATTGAAGATTAAACCGAATGTTATAGCTAAGGTAACTACTACATAAAAGAAACACATAAAATTAAGAATAGTTCATAGTGATGAAAAATTCAAAATTAAAATTGCTGCGTTTAAATTGCGCTTTAAATTTAACTTGAATTTGAATAAAAAATTTAAATTTTTATATATGATGTATAATTAAAATAAAAATGAGCATGTAAATAAAAAAATAATTTAAAAATTGTCAGTTTTAAGCAACTCAGAGAAGAAATTGTCAAATTTTCAAAAAAAAAAAAAAAAAAATTCACAAATTACACTTACAAATTGAAATTTATCACAATATAATTTTAATTCTATTTTTAGAATTTTGTTTCATATTATAAACATTTCATCTACTTATCCATCTCTATCTTATTATTTTATATTAAATTATTTAATGTTACCGCTCGGAATTCATTTAATTATATATTTTATTTTAAAAATTATTATTTTAATATTCAATATTTTTATTTGAAATTGAATTAAGACAAAATTAAATGAAATATTTTTAATGAAAAATAAGTGCAATACTTGATTTGTTAGATTTAAACTTCTTGAACAATTTGATATGATGAAGAGTTAAATGTAGATTTCAAAAAAAAAAAAAAAAGATATTATGAATTCATCACAAAATCTTCAAAAATTTGATTTAATTTGCAAATAAAACAATTTAAATTTAGCTCAAAATAGATTAAACTAAATTTTTGACATAAAAAAAAAAAAAAAAAAAAACGAAACATTGTGAAATTCATTAAACTGTAATTTATTAAACTGTAATTTGTTAAACTTGCATAAATTCATGAATCTTATTTCTTTCTTCTATGGTATTATGTAAAACATTTAAATTTTTACCTCAAATTAATTTCATTAAAAATTAACAAAACTCAGATTAATTTCATCAAAAAAAAAAAAAACAATCATTAACAAAATAATCAATTTGGCATTAGCAAATTGTAATAATATTTTATACTTTCGTAATTTTTTTTTTTAAATGTAATTCTTCTGTAATTTTAAGGTTTAGTTGAAATTTTGCACACTGCTAAAAATTATAGTTGAAATTTACAAACTTTTTTTCTTTTTTTTTTCAAGAAATGATAACAATAAATCAATAATAACAAATATATGATAGCAAAAGAGAATAGTCTAAGCAAATTAATTCAATTTGATTTTTTTTTTTTCCAAATGAAAATGATTCGATCAAATATGTAAGATATTTTGATTAATTAATACAATATCTGACAAATTAATCATTTTTTTTTTCTTATTTGCAACGTAAAATTTTTTTTACGACAAAAAAAAAAAAAAAATGTCAATTAATTATACACAATCATATCTAATTAATAATAGTAATGATACTGATTATCATAATGTTTAGTTCATCACTGTAGGATAATTTTAAATTTAAATAATACAAAATTTGAATAAATAATTTAGTATACATTGTCAAAAAGAAAAAAAAAAAAAGCAAAGCGAAAAAAATTTTCAATTAGAAAATAAATTTCAATAAAACGAATTATTATTCCACAAGTTAATATTATTAATGAATGAATGAAAGTGAAAAAAAAAAAAGAAATTACGATAGACGAATGGTCTAAATGAATTCATTCCGTTTCATTTCATTTCATTCATTCATTCCGCTATTCATCCATTCATTCCGTCATTCATTCATTCCGCTATTCATTCATTCATTCACTCATTCATTCATTCCGTTATTCATTCATTCATTCCGCTATTCATCCATTCATTCCGTCATTCATTCATTCCGTTATTCATTCATTCATTCCGCTATTCATCCATTCATTCCGTCATTCATTCATTCCGCTATTCATCCATTCATTCCGTCATTCATTCATTCCGCTATTCATCCATTCATTCCGTCATTCATTCATTCATTCATTCCGTTATTCATTCATTCATTCATTCATTCCGCTATTCATCCATTCATTCCGTCATTCATTCATTCATTCATTCCGTTATTCATTCATTCATTCCGCTATTCATCCATTCATTCCGTCATTCATTCATTCATTCCGTCATTCATTCATTCATTCATTCATTCCGTTATTCATTCATTCATTCATTCATTCCGCTATTCATCCATTCATTCCGCTATTCATCCATTCATTCCGCTATTCATCCATTCATTCCGTCATTCATTCATTCATTCCGCTATTCATCCATTCATTCCGCTATTCATCCATTCATTCCGTCATTCATTCATTCATTCCTTTCGTATACTCTAAAAGAGAGGAAGGAAGGAAGAGGAAGAGGAAGAAGATGCTACAAAAGCTATTTTGCTGTGGTAATGATATGCAAAAATCATTCAAATATAACTCTCTCTCTCTCTCTCTCTCCTCTCCCTCGCCCACCTTTCTTCCCGCTCTTTCTCGATGGCCCACTGATGAATGATAATGATAAGAATGATATCATTGATAATTTGATGATTTGAAGGGAAGAAGGAATACAAGTGAAACCGTCCTTCTTCGCCTTCTTCTTCCATTTATTTCTTACTAAACAAGCATAACATTTAAAGCGCATTTAACAGTGCAAGGAGAAATGAAAATGAAAATGAAAAAAAAATGATAGAGGGAGAGAGAGAGAGAGAGGGAGGGAGAGGGAGAGAGAGAGAGAGAGAGGGAGGGAAGACTTCTCGTCTCATCATTATCATCATCATCATCATTACCAAAATAAATATGTATTAAGTCGAAAAAAAAGCGCTGGAGAAAGGTTAGCAGAGAGAGGGAAAGAGAAAATTAGGGGTTGGAAGTGGAAACGAGAGAGAGAGGAAAGATAGAAAAAAGAAAAAAAGAAGAGGGAAGAAGGAGAAGGATCAATTTCGATGCTACTATAAACAAACTTTTTTTCTAAAAAAAATTTTTTTCCCGCTCATTTATATATTCTTCGAATGATTGAAGTTGTAAAGAAGCGCAAATGGATGGACAGACAGACGTACACACACGTACAGACAGACGTACACACACGTACAGACAGACGTACACACACGTACAGACAGACGTACACACACGTACAGACAGACGTACACACACGTACAGACAGACGTACACACACGTACAGACAGACGTACACACACGTACAGACAGACGTACACACACGTACAGATAGACGTACACACGCATACACATATGCAAGTAATATTACATATATTTTCGTTTTTTCCTTTTATTGTTCGTAAAAACAAAAATGATAATTACTTGTCCAAAGCCTATTTATTAATTAAGTAAGTAAGTAATAGATTAGTAATTGAATGACTAGAAATCATTTTTAGAAGTAAAGAAGGAAACTAAAGAGATTGAGGGCAAAGGGTAAAGGGTAAAGAGATTGAGGGCAAAGGGTAAAGGCTAAAAAGATTGAGGGCAAAGGGTAAAGGGTAAAGAGATTAAGGGCAAAGGGTAAAGGCTGAAAAGATTGAGGGTAAAGGGTAAAGAGATTGAAAGCAAAGGGTGAAGGGTAAAGGGATTGAGGGCAAAGAGTAAAGAGATTGAGGGCAAAGGATAAAGGGTAAAGAGATTGAGGGCAAAGGATAAAGGTTAAAGGGATTGAGGGCAAAGGGTAAAACTGTGATAGAATTATAGAACTTTTTGTTATTATTAGTTTTGATTTCCAAATATAATTATCCATTTGGAATATTATAAATTATATTTTCAAAGCAAACAATAATTTTGTGAATTTTGATCAGATTGATGAGTGAAAAGATTTAAAAGGGATTTTTTTTTTTTTTTTAAAAAAAGTAATAAATTAAAATAAATGTAAATACTTAAAAGCAAATATATGAAAATATATCCAACTTATTTTTCTTTTTAAAAAAAAGTTTTCATATTTAATTATAATTTGATTAAATCCATTTTACCTAATTTGGAACTTTTTCTGCTAGCAAAAGGAATTTTCTAATAAAATGTAATACATTTATATATTTTTTTTAATTAATTGCATTTATATTTTTATTATAATATTATAATTTTTGGTTTCTTTTCTTTTTCATACATTTCATTTTTTAAAATAATCAAAATTTATAGCCTCATTTTGATCAATAATTCAAAATGATTATTATTATCCATTCCCTTTCTATTATTTACATTTAATTTTAATATAACAAAAAGAGAAAACTTTTTTCAAATTAATTTTAATTCCAAATTAAAAAAAAAAAAACAACATTACATATATTAATTTAAAAAAAAGAAAATTTCCATTTCTAATCAAAAAATTGGGCAAAAAAAAAAAAAAAAAATTAGACCAAACAATTTTATGAAAGTCTTTCTCTCTCTTTTTTTTTTTTTTTTTTGCTCTGTGAAGAAACAAATACCTTTTTTTTTAATGGAAAAAAGTTTATTTTATTTTTTTTCTCTTACAACTTGATAATTCATCAGTTAAAAACTATTTATATTCATAACAAAATATTCTATAGAAAATAAAGAAAAAAAAAAAATTTTGCTTAATGGCAAATAAAAGTAAGCGTTAAAAAAAAAAAATACAAAAAAAGCGAAAAAAGCGATTCGTTATTTGAACGAAATATTTCCTCGGAGTTATATTAAAAAAAAAAAAGGAGAAAAGAAAGAGAGAGAGAGAAAGGGAGAGAGAAAGAAAGAAAAAAAAAAATGATATTTTGAAACCGATAAATGATGGATTTTTTTCAATTGTTGGGATTGGTTTAGATGGAAAAAGTTACGCGTACATATGGTTATTTGCTTATTTGCTACAGTATACCTCTCTCTGTCTCTCTCTCCCTCTCTCTCTCTCTCTTTTAACCAAATACTGAATTTTAAATTAATTATGCGCCTACTAACAACGTTACATTTTATACGGATAAAATGCAAAAATAGATTATGAATGAATGAAAAAGGAATGAAAAAAAAAAATAAGGGAAAATTATTATTTTATAAATTTAATTAATTTTAAATTTTTTTCAAATAATCAAAGCAAAAAAAAAAAAAAATTTTTAATAATAATATTATATAAAAATTATATTAATATCGAATAATAATTAAATTATAATTGTAATAAAAATTTGAAAATATTATTTGTAATCAAAAAAAAAAAAAGGAAAAAATATAAATGTATATTGAATGCAAAAATTTATGAATTTTTTTTCCAATTGTTAAAGATTGTATTATGAATGAAAGAAGAAATAAAATAAAAAAAAAAAAAATGGGAAAAGTTATTATTTTATAAAAGGAATTGATTTAAAAATTTTTTCAAATAAAAATATTCAAAAAAAAAAAGCAATAATAATATTGCGTTATTATTATTGATATAATAATATTACTTTACATTATTATTATTATTATTATTATTATAAATTATATCACATTGATAATTTAATAATAATAAAATATTATAATTGCAATAATAATTTAAAAATATTATTAGTATTCAAAAAAAAAAAATATACATATATAGGATGCAAAAATGGATTATGAATGAAAGAATAAATAAAAGAAAAAAATGGGGAAATTATTATTTTTTAAAATGAATTAATTTTAAATTTTTTCAAATTAAAAATTTTCAAAAAAAGTTAGTACTAATATTATATAAAAGTTATATTAGACGGAATTGTTAAATTATAATTATAACAGTAATTTGAAAATAATAATATCAAAAAAAAAAAAATGATAGTAAAATTCTAAAAATGATAAAATTTTAGAACAAAATACAATGTTTACATATGTCTTTACGTATTTTAAGAAATTTTGAAGAAATTTTCTCATTTAAAATAAAACAATGATAATACTTTCATCCTAAAAAATAAGACTTTTTTTTTTCAAAATTCTTATCTAGAGCAAAATAAAATTAAAATTTATGTTTTAGTAAAATCATTTTTGATTACCTTTACGATCTTTAAATAAATTCATTTAATATTTCTATTTTTAAATATTATAAAAGCCTTTCTAGTTTCTCCCTTTTTTTTTTTTTCATTTTTTAGTCATATTGATTTTAATCAATAATTTTTCAATTATTTGCTAGAATTTTTACATTATTATAAAATTAAAATTTGCTAAAAATAATTTTTGAAAATTTGGAAAAAAAATTTTTAATTTGAATAAGAATTAATGATTGATCGATGTGAACATAACAAATGGTTGGCTGAAAGATGTATTTAAACACAAATGCTACAGTAGTCAAACTATAGATTAAAAGATTGGATGATACGAATAACTACTGAAAAAGAAATATATAAATAAATTCATAAATTAATAAAAAAATAAACAAGTAAATAAATAAATAAATAAATAAATAAACAAATAAATAAACACTTAAATAAATAATTATATATCAATAAATGAAATTATACAAACTTGCAGGACATAAACAAATAGTGTCATCGATTTTAACGAAATGACTATTTATGATTATTTTACTTTTCAATTCAAGAACAGGAACCAATCATTTAATTTATTTCAAAAAAAAAAAAAAAAGTTTTTTTTTTTCTTTTAACTGTAGCTTAAATAATTTTAAACAGTATTTTAGACAAAGGAAAGATTTTATATAAAAATCTACCAATGTTCATTTCATAAATGATTTCATTGCCGAAATGAAATAAAATGAATATTTGAAATTTTCAAAAGTTTCAAATAAAATAAATATTTCAAATGATATATTCAAATTTAACTATGATGATAACATTGGTTTAATAAATCAATTCATTGCAAAAACACAGAAAAAAGAAATTATTTTATGAATTAATAAAAAAAAAAAAAAAAGTAGAATGAAGAATAATTTTTCACTTTCAGTTTCTCATATGAATTAAAATATTTTTCATTTCAAATTAAAAATAATTATAATACAGTGAAATACAAAGAAAAATTAATCTTTTGTTTCTTTTTTTTAAAAAAAAAAAAAAAAAAAAATATTTTGCTATTTCAAATATTTCTTAACTCGTATAACCTTTCTGTTATGAATTTAATCTCATAGAAATTTTTGAAAAAAAAAAAAAAAAGTCTTTGCTTTTACAATCAGTTTAGAAAGATAGTTGAACGAGAATTTAAATTTTATTTTAACAAATAAATGAAAGTGAGAATTTAAATTATATTTTAACAAATAAATGAAAATAAAGATTAAAAAGTGGGATAGCAAAGAGTGGAAGAAAGGGGTGAATAGAGGTAGAAAGGTTATTGTTAAAGGATGTTATCAGGGAGAGAAAGGGTAGATGGATTGGATGATATTGCTGTTCCATATGTGTTTTATATGTGAAAATGATACATTACTAATTTCTTTTTTTCACCATCATCATTATCATTATCATTGCTATCATCGTTGTAGCTACATTCGTCATTAAAATACATTATAAATACTATTTTTACATCTTCAATTATCATTATCACTGTTATCAATATCATTTCTTCACACACTGTTGTCATTACTATCAGTACTATTCACTCATCATTATCAATATCACTTCCACATCTTCATTCATCATTATCGTCATTATCAATATCATTTCCATATCTTCACTTATCATTATCATCACTATCAACATCATTTCTACATATTCACTCATCATTATCATCATTATCAATATCACTTTTATATCTTCACTCATCATTATCATTATTATCAATATCACTTTTATATCTTCACTCATCATTATCATTATTATCAATATCACTTTTATATCTTCACTCATCATTATCATTATTATCAATATCACTTTTATATCTTCACTCATCATTATCATTATTATCAATATCACTTTTATATCTTCACTCATCATTATCATTATCATCAAATCGGCATTATTACAAAATCATTAAGCAATAACTTCAGCAATCACATTTAATAGTACAATAAAATTTCAAATCATGATTAAAAATGAAAAACTATTTTGCACTAATATCAAATTTAAGTCTTCATATGAATTCATCATAAATTACCAATAAAATTTAACAATTATAAATGATAAAATGAAGGAAAAAAAAACGAAAAATATGAATAAAGTTTAAAAAGAAAAAAAAAAAAAAATCATTTTGACAACAAAGAAGAATGGAAAGAAAGAAAAGTTCAATAGCAACAAAAAATAAATACATACATTTTATATGTATATATAAAACTATTTTAAATTCTCCATGTATTTAATCATATTCCATCACTTTTTCTTTCTTTCTTTTTCTCTCTCTCTCTCTCCTCCTTTCTCTCTCTTTTGTTTTATATTCTCTTTTATTGCTTTTAATATACACAAATCTACCAAAGAATTGAATAAATTTGTACAGTTCACTACTACATGCACTTTTATATTGTTAACATTAATCCCTCTTATCATCTCTCTCTTACATTTCAAAAAAAAAAAAAAAGAAAACAAAATGATTCTTTCATCCTTTACTTTTCTTTTTCATTAAATTTATTTCTTTGTTTACAAATTACAGTATATTAATACCAGCTCATTAAATCAAATCAAATCAAATCAAATCAATCGATCAATAAAGAAATAGCTCAATGATGAAAAATATTCATGTAAAATAGAGAGAGAGAGAGCGAGAGAGAAAGAGAAAAGAGTTGAATGACGTAGAAAACGTAAAATACAACGATAATGGAAAAGAATTACGTATATGATCATGATGATATTACTATCTTTCTGTCATTACTATATGCATTATCTTAATTATATCATGATATCAATGTATGTTATAACGATGCATAAGTTATTATGTTACTGCATGCATTATCACGATTATATCACAACATCACGAATACTATGATAACATATTACTACATCTATTATCATGATTATATCACAACATCACGAATACTATGATAACATATTACTACATATATTATCATGATTATATCACAACATCACGAATACTATGATAACATATTACTACATATATTATCATGATTATATCACAACATCACGAATACTATGATAACATATTACTACATCTATTATCATGATTATATCACAACATCACGTATATCATGATATCATTATATCACAGTATCACGTATATCATGATAAAGCACATATTACTACATGTGTTACTATCACGATTATATCACAGTATCACGTATATCATGATAAAGCACATATTACTACATGTGTTACTATCACGATTATATCACAGTATCACGTATATCATGATAAAGCACATATTAATATATGCATTATGATTATGTCACAATATCACGAATATCACGATAGCATATTAGTATACGTATTATCATGATTATATCACAATATCACATCATAATACTAACTTTTCACCATTACTATACCCTTTATCATAATCATATCATAATATCGTTGTATATTATAGTGATGCATGTGTTACTGTATTGGAGATTAAAATTATTTATAACTATTTGCTACATTTTTAATATTTTTAAGAATAATATCAATCATTTTAATATATCCGAGAAAAATCTGTAAATTGTGAAAAATTTGTAATTTAATTTTTAAGATATATTCCAAATTCTAATCTTCCCAAACTATATTTGTAATTATTAACATTAAAATTAATAATGATAATATTTTTATTATTATTATTAAACCTCTAAAAAATTATCACTATCTTAAAATGGATTATTTTGGAAGAAAGAGAGGGAGAGAGAGAGAAAAAAAAGAAAAGAGGGAAAGAAAAAAATTAAGTATGAAATAAAAATATTTTATTATGTGTTACTAAAAAAGAAGAAAAAGTTGAATGTATGAATGATTAAAAAGAAATAAAATAAAAAGTATTAAATAGAATTATCAAATACTGATAAGAAATTTATGAACAATTTCTCATCTTTTCTGTTCTTTTTGAGTTTTTTTTTTTTTTTTTTCTTTAAAAAATTCTTTTTTTGTTTGAATTTTTTTCATTTTAATTTTTACCTATTTTCTATTTTTTCTATTAATATTTGTTTAATTCAAATTTCGTTTGTAAAAGATACTTTACTGAGAGATATTAATTGAATGTTATTTATGCAAGTTTCTATTTGCAGTATAAATTTTATTCTTTTAAAAAATAAGAATTCACAAATTTTGAGTATCTATAAAATTCAATCTCCCTATAATTATGATTTATCTTTTGTAATAATTAATAATTAGTAATAATAATAATAATAATAATAATAAACGAAATTAAAATGCAGAAATGAATGAAAAAATGGAGAAAAGACGAAAAAATTAGGAAAGAAAATAATTGTTTTTGCCTCAAATTTATCTGTAATTTCCTTAAATTATTTGTTTGGAAGAAGTAAACAATTTAAATTAAATTAAATTAAATTAAATTAAAATTAAACTAATTCCATTAATCATCAATTTTAGCTAATAATCATAAATCAAATAAAATATTTGTTGATTGGAACAATAAGCAATCACTAATCAATAATTAAGAAACTTTCACTTTATCTTTTGCTGAATGTTATCTCACCAATAAATATGTAAATATTGATTGAGACGAATGATTAATTTATGCTTAATTAAATTTAGCAATAAAAAGTTGGAGAGAAAGGGAGAGAGAAAGAGAGAGAGAAAGAGAGAGAGAGAGAGGGAGAGAGAATGAAAATAAAAGTATGAAATAGTAGGAAAGAAAAATGATTTTTTGATTAATGAATGATCAATTTGGATGAATAATAATAGCATTTCATAAAAATTGATTGATCTGATTTAAGAAATGATTAAGCATAAGCTGGCAATAATATTCAAAATTAAAATTAAAAATTTTTTTTTTCTAACAATTTTGTAAGAAACGCCAACAAATCACTTAAAGTTAAACAAACACTGATAAATATTTTAACAGTTTTACTCAATGTGATAAGTTAATTAAAAGTAATCAAATAGTAAGAATATAAATTAACAATTTTTATTGTCAAATTAAAAATGATAAAGTTTTAACATAAATTATCGAATTATAAAAATTAGCGCAGCAATAAATTATTTCAATTTGATTTGAATATTACTATTTGCATAATGGAAATAACTGATCATAATTTTTATTATGACAAAAAAAAAAAATTAAAAATTAAGTTTATGAATAAAAAAATTGTTATAATTACAAATAGACTAAAAGATTATCTGAATATTAACATAAAATTAACAAAATTGTAACATTTATATAAATAAATCAACAGATAGTATCAATTCAAAAATAAAAAAGAAAAACTTTTTTCTTAAAAATTTTTTTTTTTTAAAAAAAAAAGAAAAACATAATTTTGTTAAAGCAAGAAAACGAATAGTATTTAATTTAATATTTGTAAATACATATTCAACATTTTATTTACCCACTAATTGTTTTATTTATTTTTTGGATAGTTTTTCTTTTTTTTTTTTTGGGGGGGGATTTTAATTATTTATTTATTTTTTTGAATTTGGGATAGCTGAAATACGTAAATAATATATATTTAATTCCTATAAATAAATTGCAAATACGAATACCAAAAAAAAAGTAAAATTATTTTACGACGAATTATTGTTGTTAAATAGATCTAAAACTGTTTTTAGTCTAAAATTCGTTATAATACTATACATAAAAATTTCAAAAATCTTATTGTTCCAGCAAATAGTTAATGTCTTATTGTTGCAACAAATAGTTTCTAATAATTGCAAATTATTCTTTCTTATTTATTTATTGAAAAATTTTGAATGAAATTTTTTGCTTTCTTAATTATTTGTTTATAAAACATTCATTATTGAAATAAAATAAAAATTAGAAATATCACTTAACTTATTGATTAAATTATTTCTAAAAATGCTAAACAAACAGTTTATTTGCTTACGAAAAAATTTTTAATATTTTTTTATTTTTAATATTACAAAATTATGTCTAATAAATATTTTATTTGAATAATATAAATAAATCTTCGATTAACTCATTTTTGTATTTTATTATTTCTGATAGAGAGATAAAATTAAAAAAAAAATTATCGTTAAAATTTGTTAAAAAAAAATTTTGTTCAAAAAATTAAAATTAAAAACAAACAAATTTGAATATGCTAACATTTTTTAAGTTTTTTTTTTTATAAATTTACTTATATTGAAAAAAATTTTTTTTTTTTTTTTTTTTTTTTGTATAAAAATCTAACTTATAAAAAGTTAAGAAGAAAAACTATTGGAAATTTCAAGAAAAGAATAAAACTTTAAACAAATTTTTATTTTATTCAGCAAAAATATGACAAATAATATCACTATTAGATTGATAGAAATGGAATTTGTTCATTCTTGTCAATAAAAAAATGAAAATTTGTGACAGCAAAGGTCAACTCAGACAATGATTGAATGAAAAGTTGTCATTTAAATGGGGACAAAGTTGACAGTAATGATTGATCATTAAGACAATTTCCGCTTTTCATTCGTTGACATAAGTTAGACAGTGAAAAGCATTCAATTTCATTGTAAATTTTTTTAATTAAAATTAAATATTTTCCTTACATTTTATTATTTCTCAATTTAGACTTGTCGAAAATGTTTATGTAAATTATGAAAAATTGATTTTTATTATCTTTTTTTTTTTTTTTTTTTTTTCATCTGAAAATTATCAAAATTAAATTTTATACCAAAATTAAATCTGTCTTGAAAAAAGAAAAAATATCAAATTAAATTATACCCAATTAAAATTTTCAATTTGTATTATCATTCAATAAAGAATTAATCATATCACTACAGAAGCAACGTATTCCTCAAATTATTACAATATTTAAATATTTTCGTTTTTCCATTTTTCAATCATATTAAATTTTTGAATAATCTTTAATAGCTTGAAATTACTAGAATAAGCAAACTTAATTTTATTATGCTAAAATAATCTAGAGGCTAGCAAAAATTCTTATGCTAAAATTAAATTAAATTAATTACCCATCTTATCTATTATCTAATCACCTGTCGAGCAGCAGCACAACAAACTACAACACTCTAGACAAGAGGTCAAAGGCTATTTGACTGTTGATTCAAACACAGTAGATCATTGAACAAAAATCATTGAACATTGCTAATACAAATGTAAGTATTATTTCTAATTTAAATATATTAGCTAAATGAGAAATTAGCAAAATGCATAATTTATAATACAACGAATAATCATTTGCATCAAATTTATCAATGAAAACAATAATAAATTAATTTGAAAAATTATTTTAAAATCTTTAAAAATGGCATTGTATTTCAGAAAGAGCTTAAATTAGATTATTATTTAAGCATTGCAAGTTGGATTCAAACACAATTTTAATTAAATTTTCTTTTGATCATGAAAAAGTTTTTTTTTTTTTTTCTCTTTCTTATCCTAAATACGAGGTTAATATTAAATAAATTAAGTGAAAATTGAAAATTAAAAATGGGAGAGGTACAATAAAGTTATGTAATTAAAGGACAATGGAAAAAATGCAAATTAAAATAAAGTGAAATAACAAAGAAAAGAAAAAAAAAAAAGAGAAAAACGATAAACAATTGAAAAACTTTGATAAGTTTATCAAAAATTTTTAACTATTTAATTAATAATTCAAGCAAAAAATTTTAAAATATTATGCATAAACGATCAAAATCTATTGAATAATTACTTATAAAAGTTATAACTTATAACAACCAAAATATTTTCTTTTCTTTTTTTGATTTAAAGTACAACAAAATTTTACTTTTTACTTTTAATTGTCCTTTAATTGAGAAACAATTATAATTATTCAAAGTATAATAAAATTTTTAGTAACACTAACTTCTAATTCCTATAATAACTTTTAATATGAGTAAAGATGAGAAGAAATTAGACAAAGAAATCTAATTAAAACTGATCAGGTGATAAGATAAGAATGATTCAACGAAAAATTCAATCTTCCATTATCTCGAATTGATAATTGATTATTTTATAATAAAACTTGCTGTATCTATTGTCAAATATCAATTTATATGTACCAGGTGTAGCACATGAAACCTGAAAATATATTTATATTCTGTGGTTTAATTCATTAGAAGAAGATATTTATTAATAATATTAAAGCATTTAAATTATGAAGAAACATTGTGATAAATTAATCTCACAGCTAATATCTCACAAATTATAGCATATGTTTTAAAATATTAGAATTACCACGCCTCTCGAGAAAGGAATCGAGAATATAAATTGTTTTTCAAACAAAATGCTAAATAAATTAAAATGAAGAGAGAGAGAGAGAGTTAAACTTTAGCGATTACTTTTTAAATGTGATAATTCAATTAATAGATTTAATTTACTTAGAAAAATAATTTATAAATATACTTTGCCACTTTCTGGTACATATAATGTTTGAAGACGAAATCTTGGCCAAATAACAACATCATCTTCACTATCATCATTTAAATTTGTTAAATTATTTGATCTGACAATTGAAAAGTCAATGTCACCACTTTCAACTCTCCACCACCATGACAATTTTTGTTTTGGATTAGAATCTGAAATTAATTAAACTTTATGCTTCTTTCTAACTGACAGTAGTAAAAGTGAAAGTGAAATTTGATTGTAAAATACAAGTTAAACTTATATTATATGATTTATTAATAATTTCAATTAATTTTTTTTTTTTTTTTAAATTAAAAAGTAACCTTTTACAATGACTGGGACAACATTTAATGTACCCGCAGGTATTTTTAACTTTTGTAATTTAGATGCCGGAATATCATTTGATGGATTATACCTGAAAAAAAAAAAAAAAAAAAGAAAAAATGTTGCATACTGAATATTTTGCTTTTTTAGTAATTGATATGACTAATTTAAGCGAAATCTGAATAATTTTGGCTGATTAATAGAACATATGTTCTGCTAATATTAGCATATTGGTTATTTGATACATAAAAAATGGAAAAAAAAAAACGGAAAAACGGAAAAATTTTCTCCGAATTTTCTTCCTTCTGTAGCAAAACATTTAATCGTAAGTATTATTACAGCATTTTAATGAAAAAAAATGATACTAAACAATTTGTAATTGTTCATCAAATCAAAATTAATACTGCTTATAAGCAAATTTTTTCTCTGTTATTTTACAACAAGTTAAACTAACATAATAGAAAAATATTTTTGAAAAAGAAAATTTGAAACAGAAATATGATTTATATTTAAAAAAAAAAAAAAAAAAAAAAAGACATAACAGATTTATAAAGTAAGTTAAGCAATTAGTTATTAATTAGTAATAATAGAAATAAATAGTTAATTAATTTATAAGCAATTAGTAATAAATAAAGTTATGTAATTAATTTATAGCATTAGCAAAAATTAAATATCTAAATTAAATTTTTCAGGTATTCTACAATCCATACAAATATATTAAATAATTAAATACCTAAATTTTTCGGGAACTTTTCCACCCATACGAATATGCCCAAATGGTGTTTCTGCTTCACGTATACCACCCCAATGTTGATATAAAACATTCTCATCGATACATTCTTTCAATTTTTCCTTCCAATCAGCTCCAAGTATTTGAATTTTTTCCTGGGTATGTTTAGCAAGGCACGGATTCACTAACATCCATAACATTCGAAAAAATGTTGGTGTATTGATAAGAAAAAGTTTACGTATCACATCTGGAAACATTTCCTAAAATTAAACAATTTTAATCAAAAGTAGAAATATTTATTGCGAATGAAAAAAAAAAAAAAAACAAAAACTTTTCTAATTTCCTTTTTTTTTTTTTGATAAATTTTTTTTTTTTATAAAAAAGTTTTGTTTTTTTTTTTTTTTTTTTTTGAAAAAAACTTTATCATAAATGGAATAATGATAAGATATAAACAAACAAACAAACAAACAAACAAACAAAAAAAAAAAGCAAACCTGTAATTGTGAAAGCATTGTTGTGATCATTTTAATAGCAGGCATCCATAACATATCAATGCTAATTTCATCAAAATCAATTATGATAACGGTGCCAAGTTGACGTCCTAGAATTTTTTCATTTTTTCTGAAAAAAAAAAAAAATTTTCTTTTCAAATGATCAATTAATGATTGCATAATTATAGTGTATACAATAATTTCTACTGAAATTTAAGAAAAAAAAAAAACTAACAAATTTTAATTTAAACAACAAAAACTCTTTTTATCATTATAAATTAGTGAATAGGTAACTTGTAACTTGTAACTTCTAATTGGTAACTTGTAACTTTTAATAGGTAACTTGTAACTTGTAATTTTTAATAGGTAACTTCCAATTTGTAACTTTTAATAGGTAACTTTAAAATATGAAAATGATATCAACAGCGAAGCGAACTCTTATCTATTTTATCTAATAAAATGAATCATAACCTTATCAAACTCATAACACCTTCAGTTTCAGAAATTCGCAAAATATATAAATCTGAATTTCGTATGCATGGTAATAAACCACGTACGTCTAAGTGACCAATTGTCTGCAGTGAAATAATATTGTGTTCTTTATCATAACCAAGTAAAGATCCTATAAATAAACAAACAGATGTTTATTAATAAATAACGATTAATTGTGATTAAACAATTAATTATGATAATTTTGCAAAAATTTTTTTTTTTTTTTTAAAAAAGCAAATTATATAAAACAAAAGATTGTGTTTTCATCATCTTCTTTAAAAAAGATTCAATAAGCTGAGCAAATGCATAAGCAAAACTAATATTACAAATATTGCTGCTCTTATTTTATAAATTAAATTAAATGATTTAGTGCAAAACTTTATTCTGAAAAAAAAAAAAAAAAAAAACAAATAACCTGGTATATACTTTAATGGTTCACTGATTGAATCACAATAAGCTGAAATTTTCTCGAGAGTGGAAAAATCTTCTTTGTCAAGACCAAGTGCTGATATTGCACGAAGTGAAAATTTAATTTTTGGTACTACCAAATCTGAAAATATACAACAAATGAATAAATCAATTCAATTTATTGAATTTAATAAGGAAATTCCAGAAATGATTCAATTAAAACTTGTCAGCTAATAGATATGACATGCTAAGTGGTTAAAAGTATTTCAGCATGATTTAAAATTGCCTTCAAAAATATCAATTCAATTTTGAAAAATGATGAAAGTGTAAAAACAGGATAATCCTAAATAAAATCTGATAATCCGTAGAGTAGTAAAATTAGCTATTAATTTGACAAATTCTAGTGTGTGAAATAAATTTTTTGCTATTCATCACTAATACTTCATGGCCTGCCACTAATTAAAACAAACAAACAAACAAACAAAAACAAAAACAAAAACAAGAAAACAAAACAAAAAACCGATTTTTCGATCCCAACCAGTAATCCATCGAAGTAAGCTGAAATCATCATCGTATGCTGGTACCAATAAAAGTTCTTCACGTATTGCTTCACGTAATTGTTCAATTAATGATCGATCACTTTCGCTAATTTTATTGAAATTCATTTAACTCTAAAAAAAAAAAAAAAAAAAAAAAAAAATCACAAAAATTATTATAAAATAAACAGAAATTCTTTTTTTTTTTTTTTTGAGCAAGCAAAATGTGAAATATAATAGATTGATGTGAAATTCTAAAATAAACAGATGGTTGAATAAACTAATAAATGAATCGATAGATACATATAACTAAATTAAGTTTAATATATACATGGATATTTTTAATTTTATATATTAATTAAATTATTACACATTTATTTTATCATATATCAGAGAAATTTGTTTTAATTCAAGATTTCTCTCTTTTTCATAATCATTTAACAATCGATCATTGATTCATTTTTATTATCAAATAATTTCAAACAAATAAACAAAATATTAGCATAAAATTTTGCTTAAATGAATTATTTAATAATAATATCAATACTACTACTAGCATTTTTCATTTTTTTTTTGGACTAAAATATGAAAATGAAATGGCATAAATGTTTAGGAGATAAACATTAAAATTGTAAACATATATTTCAAAAAGATTATTCTTGTCTCACTAAATTTATTATCAAATCATTGTTATATCATTAATTTAATTTTTCACACCATACTAATTTTACTTTATTAGGTTTTTATTTCATTTTTTTTATCTTTCCATTATCATTTCATATCATTTTATCATCGCACCACATTAAATTCTATTCTATGATTCTCATTTTCAATGAAATTATTCTATTAATTCATAAAATTTTATCTCAATGTTTACTATTCCAACAATTTTATTTTTTTTCTGATAATTCGCTCATTCTATGCTATTTTACAACTAAAAAAATTTAACAATTCTCTATAAAAAGATTAAAAGTATTTTTTTTTTTGGAAATTTTGAAAAGAATTGATGAAATAAATAAATAATATAAGTGACAATATTTACATTACTTATGAAACTAATTTAAGAAATTTTCAAAAGTATTCAAACCATAATTAATAGATAAATAATCAAAAAAGAAAAAGAACCATTTCATAAGTGTAAATGAAATGCAAACAGGAATAAAACTAAGTTTTTAGTAAAACAAAATGTAAATTTAAATTGAAAGCAAATTAGATAAGATTAGGATAAATAAAATAACCTTAAAATATTTTTGAAAAAAAAAAAAAGCAGTATATTAAATTTCATTTTTTCATAATTTCAGTTTTTCAAAATGCAAAATGAAATTATAACATTTAAATGCGAAAGATAAAATGAAAATTTAGATGAGAAATGCTTTTTTATTTAAGCAACGCTCAGATTTTTTTGCTTGCGAATATAGCCAACATGATAAAATATCTGATAAGCCTTATAAATATGATAGCAAATGGAAATATCTGATAAGCCTTATAAATATGATAGCAAATGGAAATATCTGATAAGCCTTATAAATATGATAGCAAATGGAAATATCTGATAAGCCTTATAAATATGATAGCAAATGGAAATATCTGATAAGCCTTATAAATATGATAGCAAATGGAAATATCTGATAAGCCTTATAAATATGATAGCAAATGGAAATATCTGATAAGCCTTATAAATATGATAGCAAATGGAAATATCTGATAAGCCTTATAAATATGATAGCAAATGGAAATATCTGATAAGCCTTATAAATATGATAGCAAATGGAAATATCTGATAAGCCTTATAAATATGATAGCAAATGGAAATATCTGATAAGCCTTATAAATATGATAGCAAATGGAAATATCTGATAAGCCTTATAAATATGATAGCAAATGAAATATCTGATAAGCCTTATAAATATGATAGCAAATGGAAATATCTGATAAGCCTTATAAATATGATAGCAAATGGAAATATCTGATAAGCCTTATAAATATGATAGCAAATGGAAATATCTGATATAAATATAACAACAAATGAAAATATCTGGCAGATCCAATGATAACGATCACAAATGATTCACTGATAACACTGATAAGCCATGCAAATGCTATCTATATTTTGCTGCATTGCACGAACAAACAAGTTTGTATGAATGATGTTTACGCTCGTTGTCACTAACAAGAATTTATGATATGTTAACACTTCTCTTTATCATTTCTCAAATTTACATTCTATTTCACTGCAAATTACTCATTCTAACATTCTCTCACAAATGTTAAGTGCAATTCTTTCATCACATCGTCAATTTCTCTTTTTTCTCACTCTCTATCAAAAATATCATCAATCTTTCCATTCTCTCTCGCATACATAATCACTCTCATTTACCCTTTCTATCCTCGTAAATTTCTTGTCTCCGTACAAATTTATCTATAATAAATCATTTCTTGTATTCTTTATCTCTCTCTCTCCCTCTCCCTCTCTCTTACATTCTTTCCCTTTAACAAATAATCTAAAAAAAAAGGAAAAAACTTCAGTTATATAAAAAAAAAGTTTTCAATTTAAAATAACACGAAATAGCAGAAGAGAAGTTATTGTGAGAGAGAGAGAGAGAGAGAGAGGGAGAGAGGAAGAGAAAGGGAAAAAGATAAAATTCGAAAACTTTAAAATTAAATTTAACAAAGATCTCAAAAAAGAAAAATAAACAAACAAACAAATTTTTCGAAAAGTTTTTACAAAGCATTTAAGAAAAGGAATGAAATAATTGTAATTAATTAATTGTCAAATGTAATCAATTAAATAACAATAAATTAAGTTATCGTTTAAATTTTCTCTAATTTTAAATTATTCAATAAAATTTGAAATTTTATTACAATGTTTAATCAATTATATAAAAAATTTAACTAAAAAAAAAAAAAAAAGTAGAAAGGATAATCGTTTGCAAACGATGAAAATTAAAATATTTCTCTAAAATACAGTGCTTATTTTCTTAAAAGCATAATGTTTTAAAGAGAAAGGAGAGAGAGAGAGGGAAAGAGAAAGAGAGAGAGAGAGAGAGAGGAAGAAAGAAAGGTAAAAAACAAAATTAGTCATAAATTTTTTTTTTTTAATTTTTTTGCATTAATTTTTGCACGCTATATAAAATATACTATATGAATGAATGAATTGAATGAACAAACAAATTTATTAATTAATACAAAAAATTCAATTATTATTTTTTTTTTAAATTTTCAAGAATTGAAAATATTCTAGGTGGAACACTAATACCTTAATTCAATTTATTAGCTAATTTGTAATCGATAAATCTTTTTCTATTCAAATATGCATTATTTTTAATTACTTTTCCTAAATATTTTTAGTTATTTTGCACAAATTACTTTGCTTATTTCTCTTTTCATTATTTTGTTTAATTTAATTTTTTTATTGAAAATTTTGAAATCAATGATTTGAATATTACTAATAATTTTTTGCTATGTTAAAAAAAAGTTCAAAATTTCATTTGTTTAATTTATTAAAGCAAAATTTAAAAAAAGAAAAACACATTTTTTTTTTTTTAATCTCCATGATAAATCCAAAAAATTTTAATCTCTATAATAAATTTCTCTCAACAAAATTTATTTTTACTAATTTTTTTTTTTGGCTATTTTAAATTATTTAAAGTTTTTTTTTTTTAATTTTTATGTAGTAATGAATGAAAACAATGTTTGGTGTTGGATATATATATATAATATAGTGATAATAATATAGAGTGATAGGGTGATAATATAGTATGTACGTAATCAATTGAAGTAAGAAAAAAAATTTTTAAATTTTTAAATTAAATTTAACAGTTAAAAATTATAATATGTATATGCAAATTATTAGATTAAGAAAAAAAAACAACAAAAAGCAATGCATTTTATTGTAATAAAAGTATGGCAAAAGTATTGCAGTAAGGGTATTGTAAAGTATGATATGAAGGTGATAAGAGAACTGATAACGAAGGATATTTATGTGAAGAAATGATTTAGGAAAATGATAAGTTCAATAGAAGTTGAAAATATACGCCAAATGATAAAAGGAAATGACTTTAAGCATTAATTTTCGAGGTAAATTATATTGGCAAAGAGTTTACGCTCTATGTAAAATATTATGTAAAGAAAGCGCTAATGTCGCACAAAAGAAATAAAGGAAGGCAGATAAGATAACTACTGATAAATTAATTTATTATTTATCTGTTCATTTTATTCAGTAATACATTGAAATAAATTTAATACAAAAATAATAAAAAAAATTTTGCTCTGCCTATTGCGTGAATAGAATTAGTTGAAAAAAACAAAAGATTTTTTTTTTTTTAAAAAAAAGGAAAAATGATAAAATCATTATCAGTTGCTTAAAAAAAAGTCAAAAAAAAAAAAATTATTATGAAAAATTTAAAAAAAAAAAAGACAGAAAAAAGACGAAATTGTGAAACTAATTTTGTTAGCAATTATAATTTAAATTTCAAATTTATAGTTGGCTTAACATTATGAAAAAGTATTTAATAAACAATTCAATGAATTTTATGCTTATATTTTTACGAGAAAAAAGTAAAAGGCATCAATAATTTACATAAAAGTAATTTTTCAAATTGTTAAAAAAGTCGTTTCGGAAAATATTTGCAAAAGTTGACGAATAATTTCATTTTAATAGATGAAATATTATTTAAAATAAAATTAAAAAATTTTTAAACTACAACTGCAACTTTTCAATTTTAATTTTTCTTTTAATTGGAAAAAGTTGAAGCATTTTTGGAAAATATTTTCTTCTCCCTCATTAATCTCATTTTTTTTTTTTTTTTTTTTAAATTCCTATTATAAAATTGCCAGTAATACTTAATGATTTATGGAATTTTGTTTACATTTTTTAAAATCAAAATTAATTTTGCAGTATTTTTCATCTGATGAAAAGAATTTTGTTTTTTGTTTTTATTTTTAGATTATTGATTTTAAGAACATAATCATTAATAACTTTATGCTAATTTAATAATATCAAACATTTATCCAAATTAATATTACATTTCTTTATTACATTTTTCTTTTATTTAAATCAAAATAAAATGAACAGAAGAAAATGAATTACAATAAAACGACAACGGAATGTTACAAATATATTTTAGTTGAATAAAAAAAAAAAGTTTTAAAATTTTGATTTTTTTTTTTTTTTGTTTAGAAAATGAATGATTTATTATTCTACTACTTATTATTAATAAATATATAGTAAAACAATTATAAATTACTTCAACGTTCTTTTTTTTTTTTTTTTCTTTTAAATTCTAAATGAATTAAAAAAAGCGAAGCAATAATTTCAACTATAATTTTGAAAAAAAATTTTTTTTTCTCAAATTCTAACTATTAACTAATTATGCATTAATTATTGATTTATGCATATAATATTTGTATGAAAATATATCACATATGCAAAATCAAATTGAACATTTAAATTAAATACTTGAAAAAAAAAACAAAAAAAGAAAACATATATAAATAGTAATTGTTTACATTTTATAAATAAACAACTATCAATCTGACAAAAATTTGAATAAATTTTAATTAATTTTTCACAATTTATTCTTATGTGACAAGACATATGCAATTTTAATTTCATTTTAATTTCACCAATAAATCATTATATTCAGTTGATTGCAAAAATCGAACATATGGATCATTCTTGAGTACCTGTTCAACGTGTTTTACTGCTTCATCAAACAACGTACTGTCTACATCTTTTGTTTCAATTCGATTATCAATCACTTGACGTAAACCAAATGGTAGAAATATCTAAAAATTAAAATATTTCTTATCAATAATTTGTTTGTTTTCTTTTTCTTTTTTTTTTTTTTTTGCTTATAAAATTCCAAAATTAGCATATTTCGATGAAAAAAAAAAACTCCGAAATTAGCAATATTTTGATTAGCTCAAAAAATCTTATTAAATTTAATAAAAAAAAAAAAAAAAATGAATAAAATTATAGCCATAATTTAATTATTAAATTAATCATGATAATCTTTTTCAAATATTTTATAATAATGATAATATTTCCTTTCTCAAATATTTTTAACTAATTTTATTGAAAATACAAAAAATAGAAAAATCAATAAGATTATATCATCCAGCATAATTTTAATTTATTGTTTATTATTCATGTAATTATTATTGTTATCATTGCTGCTATACTAACAACAGCTACTCATAAAACCAGTAATTAGTAATGTTGTCATTAAAGAAAAAAAAAAAAAAAAGGACATATATCTGTTGACAGTTTGCTTGGTTATATATAATTATAATATTATTAATGATTTTTGAATTTAAGTAAAAATTAATGATAGTAATTTATTAACAAACCTCATTGGTTGTACCTTCAACCAAATATTGTTTTTGAATATTTCGTCCCATATTAAGCATTGCAGTACTTTTATTCTTTGTTTGCTTATACTCAATTACTGCTTCCCAAAAGCGTAAATTTTCTTCTGCATGAATATTTCGCAAAAAATAACGAAAATAATATCGGCCAACCTAAGATTGTTAAATTTAAATAAAATTTTTTTTTTTTTTTTTTTTAAATATATTAGATTAATTGTTTTTTCAATTAAACCTTTGGATGATAATTTTTTTTTTCTTGCAAACAAAAAATGGAAAAATTTTTCTTATCATTTTAAAAAAGTTTTAACTTAAGAAAGACTAAGAGATAGTTTTGGAATTTTAATGAAAAAATATATTATGTGGGAAAATTTTGAATATGATATAGGTATTATCCGATGAAATAAGATAAGTAGAAAAAAAAAAAAAAAATGAAATTAAATGTCTTATGAAAATTTACATTTTGTTAAATGTAAAATTTACGAAAAATAAATTGGAAAAGGGAGGAAAAAATTAACCTGATTTCCAACAAGCGCTTCAAAACTGGTAGCCCATTTATCAGCATATGATCGTGGCATAACTTTTTCCAGAAAATTAATGTAAACATCAGATCGTTTAAATCTTGGAAATTGATCATTTTCCAGAAGTCTATTTACTTCCTTTACAGCAAGCAAAAATGCTGCCGGATCCGGATCATCTTTTGCTGCAGTTTCTTTAATTTTCTACAAAATTCTCATCATCATTCATCACATATAGCAAATTTAATTGTCTAACTTTTATTGCTACAATTTTTATATTATTTTCTTATTTCTATGATATTTCTAATATTTCTGAAATTTTAATTTTGTTTAGAGAAATGTTAATTATATAAGAAATGAAATCTAAAAAGAATCTGGAACAATTTTTCCTTATTTAAGTATAAATTTATCAATAAGTCAAAACACAAGTAATACTGTCAAAAGTTAATTGAATTCAAAAAATACTTTAAACAATATCATACCTGCAAAGCAACACTACTAAGATTGACGTATGGTGAATATTTTTCAAAAAATTCTTGAATGTATTGCTTTTTATCAGCTGGTGAAGTCATCTGCTTGAATTTATCATATGATTCAATGAATGATAAATTTTCTTCCGCTAATGAATCATGCAAAAAAACACGAAACAATTGACGGCCTATAAATTTGTTCTCAATTTTTATTAAATTTACAAATTTTAGAATTTATCTCAAAATAACACCCATTAATTGTTCAGTAAAAAGCTTTTTCTTTTTTTCAAAAATGTAATTTATTTCATATTGCTTAAAAAAAAAAAAAAAAAAAAAAAGAGGAAACCTACTAACCTTTTTCATCTTTTAAAACATTGTTTAATGATTCACTAGCCCAAGCTGCAGCTCTTGGATATTCAATACCATCGGTACTCGGTAATTCAGGTGCACGACGACTAACTTTTGAATTAAAATCAAATATTGATTCTGCCTGCATTACAGTATCTCATTAAACAAAACTGTATTACGGTACCGTGCTACAGTATCTCATCCGTGCAATTAATTTAATATTTAGGTATAATTTTCCTTTTTTTTTTAAACTAAAAACTTCAAATTCAAAGTCATAATGCTAGATTTAGTTACTAATATGGATACAATTGCTAAAATTATTTATCTATTTCTTCTCTGAATGAACAAAATACTTTAACTTTTATTTTCGTTACTTATTACTATTGTTATTAATTTAACATGAACCTGAATAATTTACTCCATTACTTTTAAAGTAATTTTTTACAACTGTAATTCTAACAAATTCGCTGATTTTACTTAATTTGATGAATAATTCTTTAATAAAATAAACATTTTAAAATTAAAATATATTAAAATCAAATAATGATGCTGCCTGAATTACAGTATCTCATTAAACAGTATTGTATCACAGTATCCCATCTAACGAATACTATATTTGAATATCTCATCCGTGCAATTAATTTAATATTTAAGCATATATATTTTTTCTTTTTAAAACTAAAAACTTCAAATTTAAAATCATAATAAATACGAATACAATTGCTAAAATTATTTATCTAATTCTTTTCTGAATGAAAAAATACTTTAACTTTTACTTTCGATATTTATCATTATTATTATTAATTTAACATACACCTGAATAATTGTTGATTTCACTTAATTTGAAAATTAATTGTTTAACACAATAAACACTGCAAAATTAAAATATACCATATTTTTAGAAATTGATTTTCGTTGCGTTTGCGTCGTTTGTTTCACTTCTCGATCGATTTTTTTCACTTTTGATTTATTCAATTCTTGTTTCAATATTGTTGAATTTTCAATCAAATTTTCCTCTGCTTCTTCTTGCTTCGCCTCGTTTTGTTCAACGATATCAATTGTAATAGATTGCTTTTTTGGTAGAACGTCTGATAAGATATTTTCTTGTACTGATAATGCAATACTATCGCTAAAAAATTTTCATAATTTAAAAATGAAGTCAACAAAAAAAAAAAAAAAGATGAAGAATATTAAATTTCATATACACATATATATAATGGTTAAAAAGTTTTATTGTTTTTTTTTTTTTTTTTTAAAAAAACATTAATGAAAGCATATAACAAATAACAATTGCAAGAATAATTAATAAGTAATGAGAATATAACAAAATTTTCTATTTCAATCTTTTTCTTTTTTCTCTAAAAAAATATAAACTATTAAAATTTTGTCATGCAATCTTTCTTTTTTTTTTAGCCCAAAAATAATGCAAAATAAAAAAAAAAAAAAAAAAGAAAAACATTGGAAATGAATTTATCAGTTGTAATATATTTCCATTAATATTTAAAAGTTGAGATTAAAAAATTTGTAAATAAAAGCTTTTATTTTGTTTATTATAAAAATATTATGCAAAGTTGAAAACAAAAACAATAATCCATCAATGCTTGCACATACATATGTGTGTGTGTGTATGTGTTTATATTTGTATGTGTATGCGTATATGTATTTGTATTTGTATGTGTGTATGTGTATGTTGTATGTGTGTGTGTCATATTTGAAAGAAAGATTTGAATTATATATATGGACAGGTGTGAATGAAAAATGAAAGAAAATTAGATAAGTTGTCTGTCTTTTATTGGAATTTGAACTATGCATATAATATGATTTCAAGTCGTCGACGGTAACCTAAGCAACAAACATATTCGTTTATTTTTCCCTCTAGAATGGATAATTAAATGAAAGTATCGAATAGGTAATTGCAGTGTCGTAAAATATAAAATCACAACTTCAAAAATACATTTTTTTCTTTTTTTGGCTAAAAAATTTTTAAAAAAAAGATTAATTAATATTTTTTATTTAAAAAAAGTTATTATTTCTATAAGTAGTATTCAAATTTTTAGTATTTATCCATCTAATTTAATAATGCAAAAATTTTAATATTGTATAAATTTTTTGAAAATAATTAAAGAACTGACAATAATATATGATAAGTGAAGCAAATTTTTTTTAGTGTCTAACAATTAAAGCATTTAGTGTATTTGATTTATTTATTCATTTACTTATTTATTTATTAAATAAACAACTTTGTTAAAATTTAGAAAACACTTCAAACATTTTTATTTCAAGTTGAAAATGACCTAAATTTATTAATTTCATTGGCTACTTTGTATACATATAGAATGGCACACAATGATTCCTTTCAATTTGTCGTTGTCAACTTCAAATGGTCAATAATTGCATTTTTTTTTTTTTTAACTTAAAAAAACACTAACATTGTCACAAAATTATCTAATCATCATTGCATGATAATATTTTATCAGTTCTTCGGTTAGCTAATATATTACTGATAATAATTAACTTACTTTATCACTTCTTGGCTTGGTGCTACTTCTTAGCTTGGTGCCATCTTCTTGGTCTACTTTTAACTCATAAATTAAATTTACTCAAATTTACAATTATATGTATAACAACAATTTTCTTCATTTAAATTAGATATAAAATAAGGATTAATCAGTTAGCTAAATAAGGAATGAAAAGGAAAATGAAAGCATAAAGTAAAAAACAAACATTAAAATAATTTAGAAATATATTTTAGTAAAGAATAATTAATTTTAAAAAAATTTGTTCCAGCGTGAAAAGAAAAAAGAAAAAGCTTTTGCACTAATTTTTAAATTGTTTTTTTTATAAAAATTTCATTACTATTATTTTTTATTTTAAATTATACATTTTAAAAAATTCTTGCCATTTAAATCTAATTCCCAATTACTAAATATTATGAAAGTTTCTGAGAAAATGAAATGAATGTGTTCAATATTTTCAACACGTCAACAAAACTTCACACAGAATGAAACTATTAATTTTTTATCCTTTAAATTTAATTTCCAATTATTTACCATTTTAGCATTTTAATTTTTATGTTTTATCATTTTTTTTTCTTTTTTGCCAAAATTTTAATCATACTTCTTTTGTCTTTTTTCATATTTTATGTCAAAATTTATAAAAAAAAAAAAATATGAAAATTATAAACTAATGTCATATAATTGAATGATTATTTAAAAAATTTTATCAGCCTTATCATTTAAATGAATTAATTTAATCCAATCATTACTCAAATTAATTAAACGATTTAGTTCAATTCAAACTCTGTATACGATATCGAGCAAATAAATTTTTTGATAATTTGATTGGAATATTTTAAACCATCTCTTGGGACCTTTTAATCTTTTGGAACTTTTTTAAAGCTTTTAATAGTTAAACCTTTTAATTAAAATTTGATTTAACTTCCACTTCTTTCATCTATTTAAATTAATAATAGTACATATTCACTATAATATTAAAAAAAAAAATTGGTAAAATTGAAAAAAAAAAAAAAAAACTAAAGAATAATATCAAACCTTTCAATACTTAATTCATCCTTGAAGCTTCGCCACATATGCTACCCTTTTCGGGTAATTGCTATAATTTTCGGGTAAGTGTCACTTTTTTGAATTTGTTGTTTTCCTTCCAACTCTAATAATCTTTCCAACTTTAATAAGATGTTGAATTCTAAAAATTTTAATTTTATCATTTAATTGAAAAAAAAAGTTTCTTTTTTTTTTTTTAATCGTCAAGAATTAATAATAATTAAATTTTTCCTTTTTTTTTTTCATTCAAATAAAAAAATTGATATAATTGAATGTTTCATTTTATTCTAAATTATTTCATTGCATTTATCATTTAGTAAATTAATTTACAAACTTTTTCAATCATACAAAATTAAATTTATCTCATTTTACTTGTTAAAAATTTAAATTACAATATGCAATATTTTAATAAATAAGTTTTTTTTTAAATAAATTACCAATTTATTCTCCAAAAAAAAAAAAAAAAAAAAAAAGAAAAACGAAAAAAGAAAAAACGAAAAAGAAAAAAAATGAAAGTAATACTATTTAGTAATTCAAGTAATTCAAATGAAAAAAAAATGAATGAAATATTTGAATACACTGAAATTATAACAATTTCAAATGAAATTTATTAAAAACGATAAAATTAGCAGCTAATATACGTATATATATATATATATATCTAACCCAGCAATTCTCAATCTATACACCTTAGACAGGTAAAGGTAAAGGTAAGGTAAAGGTAAAGGTAAAGGTAGACACACGTACGTCCATTCTCATTCATCGATTGTACCTCTCTTTTAATTATAGTTGCTAGCGGATACGAATAAATTGAATGAATTTAATGACATTTCTCTCAAGTACATATTCATTTTTAGCAAACAATTTAATCCAAAAATCTTATTTCTTTTTTTTTTTTTTCAAAAATTTTAATTTAAATATTGAAAATATAGTTAATACTAAAAATAAAAGAGACAATGGCGCAATTGTCACATTAAGAAAAAAAAAAAAAAAAAAACAAAAAGTACCATTACACAAACATACATACATACATAGACATACACTGGCATACATACACATACAACATATAAACAATGAAATGATAAAATGAGAAACTGAGATTTTAAAAAAAAAAAAAAAAAAAAAAAAAGGGTTTAAAACTAAGAAATCTTTCAATGTTTGAATTTGCAAAAATACATCAAACAAAATTCATTTCGAATTAAGTTTTCAATTTAGAACTGTACAAATGTATAATCAATTACATGTGAAATTATTAAATTTAAGTCATTTTGAGTTTTAACAATTTAACAGAATTTTAAACAAATGAATGTTAAATGAAATTATAATAGATTTTTTCTAATTGAAAAAAAAAAAAAGAGTTTTGATAATTAAATTTTGTTCTATTACTGTACACAATTTAGCATTTTAATCCTTTTGTATATGATAAGAATTAAAATAATGATATCAAAATTGAAATTATTCTCCTTATATGAATAGTTTAGCTATCAACAGATAAGATTGATAAGATTTGAATAGTATATTCTAATATTATTAATATTATTTCACTCATTCATTCACATATTAATACATTAATTAATTGACACCTAAATAATATTAGTATTTCAGTAATGATTTATTTAATTGAAATAATCAATGCCAGTGATAACATTTGTGATAAGCACTTCTGCAATAATTACTTTGCTCACATTTTCGAGTAATACTTCAAATTTAAATAACTAAATTGGAAAAAAAACATTTAAATAATTTCATATATGAAAAATTTCAAGAAAAAAGCGCACAAAAGTTCAAATTAAAAAAATTTTTCATTTTTTTTTTTTTTTTTTTGCGAATTTCTAAACTAATTTTTAGTGCTCTCATTAAGGTAATATTGTGTTTAAAATCACATATTATTCACATATTGCTAAATAATATTTTTTTTTTCATTTATAAAAATTTATAAAAAACAAATTTATCATTTAAATGCAATATCTGTTAAACAAAATTAATGAATTCTAGATTTTTCTCTTTAATTTCTTTATTATATTTACTGAAATTTTTTTATTGAAATAAAAAAAATTAAACATACCGTATTCTAAATTTAAGCTTATAAATTGTGCATAATTTAATATTTCATTTTGTCATATATCAAAAATTAAATATAAAAATTTGTGAAAATTGAATAATCTTTCTTTAGTAACTTTTTTTACTTACCAATGCTCAATAAATAAAATTTAAGAAGGTATATATACATATATTCCAAATCGGTTTTCATGGTAACGTATATTTGGATTTTACTATTAAATGAAAATTTTATAGAAATTCTATTTTTATATAAATAATTCTGTGTTTAGCAATTTATAAAGTAAATATTTCAGCTGCTCACCATACCTTCCAAATTAACTTTCCTTTTTTTTTTCTCATCAATAAGAAGTTGTCTTTGCTCAAAATAATTTTTCATTTAATTCACATTTCATTCCATTTTATAATTTCACTAAATAATGAAAAAAACAAAACAAAACAAAACAAAACCAGTTATTTGTCAAAAACAAATTTTGAAAATTTTAAAACAAAAAAAAAAAAAAAAAAAGCATAAAAGAGAGAAATTTAAAAGTTAATATTAATATATTTATTATGTTCATATGCATTGATTACATTTTAAAAATATGCAAATTTTTTCATGAATGCAATAGAATAAATTAAACGATAAGTTTTATAAATATGAAAAAAATTTTTTTTTGTATGTTAAATAAATTATTTAGTTTTTTTGTTATTTTTTTTGTTAATTTAGAAAACGAATATTTATGAAAAATTATTTGACATATGAAATTTGTTAAATTATTCCAATATTTTAACTCTTTTATATTTGATTTATTTATTTATTTTTTCATAAATAATTAAGAAATATTGTTATTTTTTTGAAAAAAAAAATTTTTATTATATATTATTATTAATCAAATGTTTTGTGAAAAAAAAAAAAAAACAACCACAAATTCTCAAAGAATGCAATTTTTTCTTTTTTTTTTTGTTGTCAATGACATAATTCAATGTCACATATGGTCGAATATTAATCATTGAATGAAAAAAAATTCCGCATATCCGTTCATAAATCTTTTTTTTTTTTTTGAATTTATGTACTGCTAAAACAATGATATGTAGGATTATTGAATGGTAGATATGATATGATGTGGTGTGTGATGTGATGTGATACATGATAAGATATGATATGTTATCATGTGATATTGTAAGATATGATATGATGTGGTGTGTGATGTGATACATGATAAGATATGATATGTTATCATGTGATATTGTAAGATATGATATGATGTGGTGTGTGATGTGATGTGATACATGATAAGATATGATATGTTATCATGTGATATTGTAAGATATGATATGATGTGGTGTGTGATGTGATACATGATAAGATATGATATGTTATCATGTGATATTGTAAGATATGATATGATGTGGTGTGATGTGATACATGATAAGATATGATATGTTATCATGTGATATTGTAAGATATGATATGATGTGGTGTGTGATGTGATACATGATAAGATATGATATGTTATCATGTGATATTGTAAGATATGATATGATGTGGTGTGTGATGTGATACATGATAAGATATGATATGTTATCATGTGATATTGTAAGATATGATATGATGTGGTGTGTGATGTGATGTGATACATGATAAGATATGATATGTTATCATGTGATATTGTAAGATATGATATGATGTGGTGTGTGATGTGATACATGATAAGATATGATATGTTATCATGTGATATTGTAAGATATGATATGATGTGGTGTGTGATGTGATACATGATAAGATATGATATGTTATCATGTGATATTGTAAGATATGATATGATGTGGTGTGTGATGTGATACATGATAAGATATGATATGTTATCATGTGATATTGTAAGATATGATATGATGTGGTGTGTGATGTGATACATGATAAGATATGATATGTTATCATGTGATATTGTAAGATATGATATGATGTGGTGTGTGATGTGATGTGATACATGATAAGATATGATATGTTATCATGTGATATTGTAAGATATGATATGATGTGGTGTGTGATGTGATGTGATACATGATAAGATATGATATGTTATCATGTGATATTGTAAGATATGATATGATGTGGTGTGTGATGTGATACATGATAAGATATGATATGTTATCATGTGATATTGTAAGATATGATATGATGTGGTGTGTGATGTGATACATGATAAGATATGATATGTTATCATGTGATATTGTAAGATATGATATGATGTGGTGTGTGATGTGATACATGATAAGATATGATATGTTATCATGTGATATTGTAAGATATGATATGATGTGGTGTGTGATGTGATACATGATAAGATATGATATGTTATCATGTGATATTGTAAGATATGATATGATGTGGTGTGTGATGTGATACATGATAAGATATGATATGTTATCATGTGATATTGTAAGATATGATATGATGTGGTGTGTGATGTGATGTGATACATGATAAGATATGATATGTTATCATGTGATATTGTAAGATATGATATGATGTGGTGTGTGATGTGATGTGATACATGATAAGATATGATATGTTATCATGTGATATTGTAAGATATGATATGATATGAAATGCATTTTTTATTGTATTCAATAAAGAACAAGGTAGTACGGTGGTGTGACACGATATGATATGGTTATGATAAGAAAAGATGATGTGATATGATATGGTTATGATAAGAAGAGATAATGTGATATGATATAATCATAATTATCACTGATTGGAAGAATCTGCATGGAGTAATTTGATATGATGAGGTGCAACTGTAACTGTTTAGTTTAGTTAGCTTATAGTGGTACTGAAATTAGTAAATTTCTATTCGGCTTAAAATGGTCAATCTGGGTCACAGATATATGGGAAGTATAGTGGAATGATATGAAATAATTCTTATCAGAATGATATGAGAATGACTGTTATCAGTTATAATGATATCATTATGATATGAGAATAGTTGTTATCAGTTATAATGATATCATTATGATATGAGAATAGTTGTTATCAGTTATAATGATATATATCATTATATATGAGAATAGTTGTTATCAGTTATAGTTACAATAGCATCATTTGTTTAAATGAAATTCCAATGAAGAATAATCATTTTATAAGTCAATTAGAAAATTTTTATAAATCACAATAACTTCAATAGATTAATGAATCATTTTGAGGCACACAAATAACATTTCACTTTAAAAATTTGTTAATACATTTAATTTTAATTGTTAAATTCCAGAAAAAAAAAGGAAGAAAAATGTGGTAAAAAAGAATTTAATTTACTTTATTGTATTTTTTAATTGAATAAAATTAATAAAATTATTTCAAAATAAATTTGTAACCATTTAAATCTCAAACTTTTTATTTTAAATTATACAGCAATGAGTAACAATGAAAAATCATAGTATACTTAAGCTGGTCTATAAGCAAATTCCACTCTGCCATCTGGTTTTCTCGTACATCTGAAAATCAGAAATTTTATTTGAATATTTGAATACTGAAAGATAATTATCGCAATAATTGCAACCTATTATTATCATGATTACAACTTATTATTATCATGATTATAACAATAATTTCACTCTCAAATTGATATGATTTCAAAAAAAAAAATTAGAAACTTCTTGTCTCACTAACAAATTTGGCAAATTTTAGGCTAATAGTAAAATTTTTGACTGAAGAATGCATATAATATATATTACTTAAACTTTTTAAGATTGCTTAGAGACTAATATTACTAATTAATTAATTAGAGGAAAAAGTTTTCAAGTTAAAAAAAAAAAATTACAAATTGAACATTAAATAAATTAGATTAGAAAAATGTCATCGAGAAGTTTACATTTATTAGCATTAGCATTCTTTATTGAATCATCAAATAATCTAGGAAATTCCGGTTAAATTTTTATTTCTTTCTTTTCTCTTTTTTTTTTTTTGAAAAAAACTTATTTCAAAAATGATGGAAAAATTGTATTGTAAAAAAAAAAAAAAGGAAAAAACAAATGTTAATACTTACGTATATTTCCTTCCGGCTTCTGTAAATTCAGTTCCCACAAGTAATCGAAAACCGCCCGGCGCTAAACATGCTGTAATTCTTGTACGCCATGATCCATCAATTTTTGCATCACATTTCATTTCAAAATTATTCTCAATCTGCAAAAAAAAAAAAAAAAAAAAAAAAAAAATGTAAATTGAAATTGAAATCAGTTAAAATTTAAGTCTAATTTCAAATATTTTAAATAATTTAAGCCATTTTGAAATTTAATTTTCTTCAAAATAATAGAAAAAGAAAATTATTTCATTTCTTTCTCTTTTCTAAAACCTTAAAAGAATTTATTTATTTGTTATAATCAAATTATATTGCTTATGATAATTATTGATTGGAAATATATAATTTTTGAATAGATTGTAAGCAGAAATAATTTATGAGAGAAATATTGTTGAAAAAAAAAAAAAATTAGAAAATGAAATTCCTTTCGACTATGTGAAATCTTTTAGAAATGAAATACTTATGAGTAATTAATTTCTTAATTTAAAATATTTCCAAAAAAAAAAAAAAAACGAAATAGAAAAAAGCTAACCCATGTATCACCATTTTCATATATTTTACCATTAATTACACATGCTTGATTAATGTTTGTTGCAATTAGTAATACAATTATTCCAATTAAAACTTTCATAAAGATTATTTTTATTTGAAATCTAAATTTTGAAATTAATTAATCATTTTAAAGTAAAATTTTTAATTGTAATATAACAAACAAATTAATAGTAATAATAATAGTAATAATAATAATAATAATAATAATAATAATAATAACAGCAATAAATTTTATTTAAAAAAAATATTACAATAGAATGTTATTATCAAAAAATGAAATTTATTTTATACATTTTTGCTCAATTTTTCTTTTCTCTTTTTTTTTTTTTAAATGATATAATCGATAAAGTTTATAAATTTCGACCACAAATTGATAAAAATAATAATAACAAAGTAATAATAATAATAATAATAATAATAATAATAATAACACTGAATAAATTATAATATTAACATTTGCAGTAAATAAAAAATATTAATTGATTTTTAACAAAATTTTTAGCATTTTTAAATGATAAAATTATTTTTTATTGATTTTCAAATCACAAATTGATAACAATGATAATGGCAAATTGATAATAATTAACGCTGAATAAATTAATTACAATATTAATTACTACAAATACAAAAAATTTACTCTTTCTAATTGACATACACTTATAAGTAAAGAAATATAATTATGATTAAGATTTGTGATTAATTTTGTTCAATTATTATTTCAAAATTTGAAAAAAAAAGAGTAAGAAGGAACTGAAAAAAAAAAAAAAAAAAAAGGTAAACAAGTAAACAATAAAGTGAAATTTTAATAAACGAATAAGAAAGGACAAGAAGAGAAAAGTTAATGAAAAAAAAAAAAAAAGGAATGTATTTTTTCATTTTTTTTTTTTTTTTTACATTACAATTTAAACATGTTCACAATTGAATTTATTACAACACATTTTGTAATGAATGCTTAAATTCTATCAATTTTTTTTTTTTTTTTTTACTCAAAAATTTTGAAATGAAAAAAAGAATTGAAAAATAATGAAATTATCTTCACTCTTTCAGTTTTTTCTTTTTTCTCTTTCATTTTTTTGTAAATTTGAATTTGTCAAAAAAAAAAAAAAATCTTTTTTTTTTGAGAGAAAAAAAGAAAAAAACAATAAATAAACGATTAACAAACAAATTATGTTTGTTACTGGAAGAATTTATTTGTTAGAATTGTAAAGAAATGAAATTTGCCAATTATAAATGGAAAAATTATTTCGTTTTAAATAACAAATAATTAATTATATTCTTTTTAACTTTGTTTTTTTTTTTTTTTCCTTCTTCTTTTAAGAAATGAATATTATAGAGTAACAATTTATATAAAACCTCATTTTTGTAAAATAATTTTAATTTCATTTTCCAAATTTCATTTAATTTTCCTAATTTAATTTTTTGCACTTCCTCTATTTTCTTTTTAAATTTCAAATATTAACAAGCATAAATTGGTTCTCTGTATAATTTTAATTTTAAAGATATTAACAATATAAGTGTAATATTATGTTGAAAATTAAATTGCATCTTATAAATTATAATTAACAATTATTATTACCACTAATAACCATTCAGAAAAAGCTGAATACATAACTTTAAGTCCCACTAATTTATAATTAATTAATTTATAATTTTACAATTGTCAATTCAAATATCATTTAAAAATTATACTCAACTAAAGATAAAGTATCTCAGCTATTTTCATTTCCATCAATTAACAATTTCTAAGTTTCACATCAATTAATGAATCTTTTGTCTTTTCTTCTTTACAAAAAAAAAACCAGTATTGCAAGTACAATTTATCACTTTTATGTTTATTTTTCCTTCCCAACAAATAAGGTAATAATTTTAAGCTAATTGAATATTTGCGCTAACTAAACAGAACATTTAGATATTTGCAGTATTTGTAACTTTCGTCATCAAATAAATAATGCATTAATGATTTGTTGATTGTTAGAAATGGAAATTTGCAAATTATAAGTGGCAAAATTTGCATTAGTAAATGCTTCAAATCGATTATGATGGCGCAATAAGTTTAGATATGATAGATCAAATAATTGATAATAAAAGTTTATGCAAATTTGTGCATGAAAGCTCAGTGTGTGTTTATAATTTCAGTAGAAATGTTTTAATTTCAAAATCACTTGGTAAAATTGTTGTATTTTATAGGCTCTCGCAGAAATTTCATTCGATAAATTCAATTGACATTTCAAAAGCTCAAAGATAACTAAATGTAAGACAAATTATGGATACATTAAAGTTTCATTTGAAAACTCTAATTCCTTATAATGAGCTCTTTTCTAATTAAATCAAATTTCATTATATCTTTTCAGCATATTATTAATAGCATAATGTTTTTATTGATAATTAAGGCATAGGGCATTTATAATCTTATCTTTACAACGCTTTAAATAAATGCATTCTAACTCCGAATAAGAGCTAGAAAAAAATTAAAATATTAAATGACAATATTAAATGTAAATTAAAATGTAAATTCAAGTAAACAAGAAAATTTGACAATCAGAAACTCATTCAAATAACAAAAAAGTACAGCAGTAACAAAATAAATGGCAACAAAAATATAGACGACAGCATAAATCAAGAAACTTTACAAAATTCTGGATTTTTGCAGAATTAATAAAAAAGGGAAAAAAAACACGTAGCTTCATCTTTTGTCTAATCTTTTGCGCTGGAAGCTCACAAAAATTATAATTTTTTCCATTACAAATTTTGGCTGAACTATATTTATCCTCGATTAGTTGATCAAGAATGGAGATAATAGAGATCAAAATACTTTTAAAAAAAAATCAAAAAAAAAAAAAAAAAAAGACTAATTAATAACTGACGTACAAACATACATAAGAAAAATAACGATGGATGATGCTATAAAAACAATAACACTATGTACACACAAGAAAAAAAAAAAAAAAAAAACTGAGTGAAAAATTTTCAAATGTAATTTTAACTTATCGATCCCAATGACATTTATCAAATGTACAATTATTTCAGAATTTCCTGATAATAACATTAGCAAAAATTATTGCTCAGAAGACTTCCATAGCCTGAAAGGTATGAAAGACTATACAACACACCTTTGTTAGTTAGAATGCGAAAGAAGTACGACAGAGAGAACCTGAATAACAATTATTACTCATGAACTTTTTGATTCATTCTCCTTCGATAAATGTCTCGAACTATCCCTGGTGCACGTGGTGTAGCTTCCTCATCACTATCAGAATCACCACCACCTGCTGCTCGTCTCTTCCTTTGCGTAGCAGCTGATTGTTGTTGTTGATATTCACTTGATGCCAAGATCTAAACTGCGTTCCAAATTTTAATAAAATACTTAATATCTTCGATAAAATATAAAATGTTAACTAACCTTAAACTATCAAATCAGAAGCAGAGAGATAAAAAGAAGAAAAAGACAAAACAACTCACAACATTAGGATCAGTAGTAGTATTTAATAATTGATAAAATTCTTTTTTGATATCTTCTACTCGATGCATTCCAAACATGGTACCATTTTCTAGTTTCACTTTAGGATCCACTGATGGTGCTAAAAAAAGCAAAACTATTTTACAGATAATAATAATAATAATAACTAAATGATTATTAAATAAAACAATCATTTAAGAATATGTTAAAGAAATTTGGTGAGTTTGAAAAAAACATACGTCCACTTTGACTGAACTTCGTTAGACTTTCCATAAGTAAATCTACTGAAACGAACGGACCATTGAAACACCATGGCGGTGGTAACATCTGCATCAACTGAGCCGCCGCAGTCGGTGGCGGAAAAACACCTTTTAAAAAAATGAACTCAACAACTTTCCATATAGATTTTACATATTAATGCAAATTAAAAAAGAAAAAAAATGGAAAAAAATACACATAAAAAAATGAAACCAGAGCATACCACCAGGAACGGGATGATAACTGCCATTTGTATTCAGTTTTGGTTTGAAAGGTATCATCTGATCTGTATCCGGTCTTGGATAACCAGAAATTTCTAAACTTACACCACCACCCATTACAACCGATGGTCCACCTACACCTGCAGTTGGTCTTACTACATTTTGCCCTGAAACAAAAACTGTGAAATTTCAAATACATTATGAAAAAAATGATACAATCATTAACCAAGAAAAACAAACCATTTGTTTGAGCACCATTTGATAGCAAAGAAGCCGTCCCTGAAACCGATGCGCGTCCAATCAATGATGAACCTTGTCCCAGTTTTTTCTGCAGGTGTCATAGAATTCAGAACTTCAAATTTATGAAAAAAAAAAAAAAAAACCCAGCAAAATATCTACGATTAACAAGGAGTTAATTAAATTAATAGTGATAACCAATGGAATCCTAAAATTCCTAACAATTTCATATTTATTCTATTGATGCACACTATAAGGTGAATCTAGTGCAGTTTTCCTAATTGAAAATTGAAAATTCTTTCGTAAAACATCCATGAAAGATTCTTTTATCTATTATATTTGTCTAAAGTCCTAAAGAAATTACATTTGATCTGTGGAAATTCAATATTATATATATAAAGCCAACAAGTAATCTTATGAACTTCCAAAGTGATTTCATAAAATTTCTTCGGTTTTTAGTATTTTCTTTCCAACCATAATATGATTACGGCAAACCAACATGTGTATCTCTACCAGTAAAATAGATCAAGAACATTGGAATATTGACAAAGCTTATAAAGATTATAATTTTCATTACATAACTTATTGAACTACAATAAAATTTGAGTCTAAAAACATCTGTAGGATAAAAAATTTAACTAGATAATTTGTTTGCTACTTACCGAATAACCCATCAATCGTAACTGATCACTAGTACACGGCACTAAATCCAAAAATTTGTATCGATCAATTAACAGTAGCGTTTGCATTTCACCATATTGTTCATTTAGCGCTTCACGTCGCCTCTGATCAACTTTTAAAATACTCGATAAATCACCAACATGCGATTCAAATTCAAGATAACGGTCCCAAATTTCACTAGAAAAACAGGATTATTGGACTTAGACCAAGTAGTTTAAATACAAA